TGCAGTCTCCCAGCCCTTCCGGCTAACTCCCAGTTACATCCTGGGCATGACGTGCTGTGGTATGGAATACCTCTTTGGTCAGTTTGGGTCAGGTGTCCTGTCTCTGCTTCCTCCCGGCTTCCCCTCCTCCCTGGCAGAGCATGAGGCTCACAAAGTCCTTGGCCAAACCAAAACATCTCTATCAGCTCTGTTCCCAAGCCGAAAGTCAAAACACTGCACTGCACCAGCTACCAAGGAGGAGAAACATGACTGCTGCTGCTGAACCCAGGACAACAGGTCTAACTATTACGTACCTGCACATGCACGTATGATAGTAAAAATCACTGTGTTTTAACTGAAGGGGATTAAAGGCCTGATGAGGAAATCCTGTGTCAGGCAAAAGCACTTACCATGACAAATGTTTGCTTCCTTGATCTTCAACACTAGGCAACTGCAGAGCAATTATTGGTGGTGTCTTTGGTTACAAAAGACAGACTCGTGAGGAGTCACGTATCAGTGGCCTCCAGAGGCAAACATTTGGTTTTCATTTTTTTCTGTGTGAGGGGGTTGTTCTTGTTTTGCTTTGAATACATCAACTACAGTGGCAAGGTGAGCAAGAGGTTATTTTCTGTTCTGGCTTTTTTTTTTCTAGCTCTTCTGAATAAACACACCTGTGAATACGCTGAGCATCGGGTCTCCTGTCTCTAGACCTAGATTTAATGGCTGTTAGTGGAAAGGGTATTTAGTCAAGCATGAACAGCCATTGAAAGGAGGTTCCCTCAGCTCTTAGATGCTCAGGACTGTGAGATCAGCTGTGGGAGATCAGCCACAAGTTGCTGAATCCAGAGAGAGCTGTAAAGGGCTGGGAAGCTGGTTTATTTATAACAGTAAAAGTTAGTGTCCTGGTTTTTGAAGAGATTTTCTGTGCATGGGAGGTGTTTCCTGTAGAACTGCAATTTGTTCCCCGGAGAACTACAAAGAGCGAGCAAATGAGGGTTGTGAAGTTAGCATGGAGAAAGACTGCTGCGTGCTGTCATCTCTGAGTGGAGGGGAACAACTTAATTCTGTCGACAGGGTTGTTATTCTCAGAAGAAGGAGACTTTGATTAGGATTGTGTGAAAGAATTTTATTCTAAACACAGGTCTGAGTTTTGTAGGCACAAGAGGCTCTTTTGAGCTTGCTCTGTGCTTTTTCTTTCTTAGCTCTATTTAACCTCTTAATTTTTTTTTATTCCCTATTCCTCCTCCCATGTTGTTGAAAAGGAACAGCAGAGACTGCATTTTTGCTTGTAGTATCCCAGGGAAGCTGCCATCATCAGGTGGAGGCCTCTGACCACTGACAGAGTCCTGAGCTCTTGCGCAGGTACATGACAGAGCAAGTGAGGAGCCTGACTCCCCTGACACAGAGTGACAATTTACACCAAAGCTGAGCTCTGAGCAAACATGGGCCAAGGCGCCAGGTCTACCCATTTCAGGAACAGTCTGCTCTTCCCTCCTCCTACTCCTCTGTCTCCTACTCAATGGAATTCATTTTCCTCAGCATTGCTTCCACGTTCCTGCTTGGAAAAACCCAAAGGCAGTGTACATGCGGGGTAGATCAGTCAAGTTTAGTTGTATGCAAGACCCTGTTAAGCCCATTTGTTATTCCTAAATGATTCACATATTGGAAAATGCTGGAAAACCTATGGCATTGCTGACTGTCCTTGCAGAACAAAAGAACTTGGATAAAGAGAGTTACAGACCATCCTACCATATTACGTATTTGTGGGAGGAATGAGGAAGAGACTATGCTGTTACAGACAGGAAACTGAAAAGGCTGGCATATGGGCTGCCACAATTACTCTCAAGGCCATATTGTCATTATTTTCTCCAGGAAAACAAAGAGTTGTGAGGAAGGTGAGGAGTGAAGGGATTCCCAAACAGCCTCTCAATGGCACTTGCCAAGTCATATCTCTAAATAAGTCAGTGAGTAACATCCCCATTTGAACATGGAGAAGATGCATTTTTGGGGCATGCATATACATCTGTAATCCTGAGAGTAGTAATATTATACAGACAGAGACACTGTTTATAAAATACAGTGCTTCTGAGTCTGTAAAAAATCACCTTATATGGCTCCAGCTTTGAAGGAAGGCAAATACCTGTTTGTATATCCTCATGTTCTGCTCTGTTAGCTTACCTGAAGAGTAAACCAGACTTTGTCATAGGTTAGGGGTTTGGCTCACTCAAAAAGCAGCGAGGGGAATACCTCAGTTGGGAAGTGGAAAGGGAGACACAATAAAAGGGTCTGAGAACTTGTCTCTTGCAGCTTTTAGCTGGTAGTAGAAGAGGCATGAATTTCTACTCTTGCTTGGTCACCAGGGAGAAAGTGCACTACAAAGCAGGAGCTGGAAAACTCTTACATTCAAGGTCTTGTTTATGGGCAAAAAAGAAGCACACCATATGTGTGTGTATATATATAAAGCCATCAGTGTTGGTATAATGGATATCTTAACAGACTAACTCAAGAATCATTATTATATGAGCCAATTATTACTGAGAAATTGAACAATAATGCAGGTAGGATGCTTATATATAGAAAAAGTCACAATAATAACAATAATAGAATTAAAACTGTAACACAGCTCATTCCTCTACTGTCTCTCTGGGTCCTAAGGTCAGTGGTTGCATGCTGGTGCTTTTGGTAGTGGGATATTACAGCAAATTGTCAGAACCTGGAATCCTTCACAGGGAGGAAGGTGATGTGTGTGTTGATGGGTTGTTGGGTTTTTTCTTCTTCTTTTTTTTTCTCCTTTAATTCTTTTCTTTTTCTTTTCTTTTCTCTTTTCTTTTCTTTTCTTTTCTTTTCTTTTCTTTTCTTTTCTTTTCTTTTCTTTTCTTTTCCTTTCCTCTTTTCTTTTCATTTTCCTCTTTTCTTTCCCCCTTCCCCTACTTAGGGCCATATATGCATGTTTGCTAACACATATTTACACCTTTCTTTTTCTTCACTGGTCTGCAGCTCCAGGCTACATCTGAATTTACTATATAAAGTGACATTTACATATTAGATACAGTTTCCTTGCTCTCTTTGCTCCCCCAAAACCCCATTCTGTCCAGCTCCAGGTCTGCAGGTTGGGATTATTTATGTATTTTAATGGTTTGGCTGGGGAACATGTTTGTGTTTGCCACCTCTGCTACAGGGCTAGGCACGCTTAGCAGGGGGTACAGTGGTAGTGGCTATGAATGGTGGGGTTGTTGGCACTTTTTTTTATAACCTCAACTAATTGCAGGTAACCTGGAAAAACTTAATTACGGTGTTAATCAAAGCACAGTGAAAGATGTGAAGAGCTGTAGGAAAAAATCAGGAAAGCTGAAGGCATAAAATAAAATGCCATAACCTTTAGTAAACAGCACAGTTCAGATCTTAGAGGATCTAGATAAATATTACCTTTTATATCAATATACCATTTCCTGGAGCAGATGATAATCACGGCTAATACTTGTCCCAGCTGCACACAAGAGTGCTTCTCTACACTTAAATGCTTTTTCAGATGGAGTAATATTAGGGCTAATATTTTTCCAATTTTTCCTTTTTTTAAAATGACAACATAATTATAGGCACAAAAAGAAAACAAGAGGAAAGGACTAAAATGATGATCCATGAACAGTTCAAGTTAGAAGAGATTATTTGCTGCTAGGACAATGCCTAGGAAAAACTAGTGAAATAAATGAAGGAAAATCCTCTTCTTTTTTTTGTTCTCAAGAGCCATGCTTCTCCAGGACTGATTAAGGCTCGAGTTCTTCAGTAAATTGCACAGTTAATTGCATGGTGCTGTGGTAAGTGCTATTGCTGTGCTGCAGCTCCAGAAAGAACTAGCAGATGAGAAAGTTCAGGGATTGACTTGAAATCAATTTTGCCAGCAGCTGAGCTGGCGCCCGCGTTAGACTGCAGAGCTCCATATTGGTATGGCTAGTTTCTGTCACCTACCCAAACTTCCTAATATAAAGCTGAAAGTAAATGTGTAGCAGTAGTTTATCTTTGTTAACTCTGCTTCTATATCTCCACACAATGGCTTGAAAAGTTTCTAAGTGGAAATTAATTTGTGAATTGTAGATTCCCTTTTCTTATATATCCCTTTCCTTCTACTTAAAAATGATTGTGTTTCTTGATTTCCTTCTCAAGGGAATTACTGAGGCTCCAGCAGAGTGGGCAAGAATTTACTGCAGAAAGGACTTACCCTTAGGGCTGAAGGTTTCTTGCAGAAGGACCAAATCCAGTCAAGCCACCTCGTACCTCCAGCAGGCAGGAATACCTTACATTGCACAGAAATCTCCCTCATGAATGTTGAGGGTGAGGATGGAGGAGAAGTGGTCTTTCTCTTCCATTCTTTTTACAATGGGGATTTTCAATAATCAGCAGTCTTTTGACTGCTGATTTGGGACTGTTGAGGTCCTGTTTATCTGCTACAAGGAATGTTTGCTTAGCTGGTGAGCTGAAGTGTGGCAAGTAGAGATTTCAGCAATTAACTACCTCCAGAGAGATGGATCACTGTGATGGATACAAGTCTCACACAAAGCAGAGCTCTGCTACTGGACTACGGTTCTATTCTGTAAGTTATCTGAAGAAAAATCAGAAACTGATGTTTTCTGTTCTGGCTGCAAAATGCAGAGATAATCAAAGAAGTCTAATTCTTCTACTTCCAGTCCTTGCAGGCAACAAAATACGTTCAGGTAGAACAGTGGGACAAAACCGTAATTTCTCCTTAGATGTGACCTCATAGAATCAATAACCCTTTGCAAAGTCTTCCTTCAAGATCTCAATTGTCTTTTCCAAGTCCTGGTTGTCACAGATATCCTGGCCATGGCGGAGAAGGTAGAAGTTCAGTCTCATTCCGAAGAACTCTCGTAGGGAATGCCTAGGAGATAGAAAGCAGCTATACAAACTATAACCACTGAAGATTTATATGGGAAGTACAAGGCTGGAATGCACTTGTTTTTGGCTGAAACATAGCTACTTATTTTTTTTAATTTTTTTTTTAAATTAGACCTGCAGTGGAGACTGGGACATGTTCAAGCATCTGTCTCTATGCTCTCATCTTTGGAGGAAGGAAAAAGTAATGTTAGAGCTGCTAGTGTAAAGTTTGTATTTGAAGGGGGAGAATTTATGTTTTCTATGCTGCTGAAAATCTCCCCTGGAAAGAAAGAAAAAATCCCCCCACAACCCTTGCACCCCCTAAAAATCCCAAACCCAAATAAACACCACCCCTCCCCCCAAACCAACAAAAAAAAACCAAAACCAAACAAACAAACCAACCACATTGGAGAAGAGAAATCAAAACTTCAGAGACCCAGAAAATGAGGAATTGCTGTCACTCAAACATTATGAAAAACACCCATCTTAATCTCCTGAATTCTAGTCATTGTTCAGCATTTCACTTGCAGCTGAGATCAGAAATATGACACTCATATGTTATTTCCCACCAGGCATTATGCATAAGCATCAGCTCCTCTTTGCTCTTCTGAGTGGATTGCAGTTGGTGGGAGTTTTGCTTTAAGCACAGCCTGCATGCAAATGGGCATTTTTCACTGAAGAGCTTCTCCCTTCTTGTATTTTTTCTTTTGAATATAGTGGAAACTTCCCACTTTGAGGTAGACAGCATTACAAAAGAACCTAAAAGAAACAGTTATCACTGAGAAACTGAAAATATTACCTGCTATTTGATTAGTATTTCCTACTGCTGCCATCAAACTGAACTGCTAGGGATCCAGGGATTTTGAAGAGACCTGTCAAGACCCTGAGATGCTGCTCATTCCCTTGAATGGAGAGATCAAAAATGGCATCTGTCCATGTACTTCGTTATCTATGGGACTGGTTGTCATATTCACACTGGAGGGAATAATTGGAATGATAGATACTTTTTCGATTTTCTTCTATCTAAAATGTCTACCTAAATGTGAGGAATAACGACCAGCAGGCTGGTGCTGGTTGGGGATATTTGAAACAGGAGCCTGCCACTGGCAAAGCGCAGGACAGGAAGGTCCGGCATGTTAGAAGCAAAGGTGCTGGCTTGCCTCCCAGCCGCAAGCAAAAGGCAGGGTGACCCACACTCGTATCTGTGGCTTCCAGTGTCTCTCCAGGACAGGTAACCGCAGAGGTCGGGTACTTCCCCAAACAGATGCAGGGCCTCTGGAAAGACACTGCTGCCACCTGCTGTGCTACTTTGCTTTTGAATGCGCAAACCCAAGCCCTGAGTAATACTGATACTAAAGCTCATGTTTTCCCATTTCCCATGTTTTGCCTACTAGGGTTAGAAAAAGATTAATTGCTTTGCAGGTTTTACCCTGATTTCCTAGTAGTGGTCCTGCGTTCTGCACTAACCACACAGAAGTAGTTCACAAGGCATGGTAGAGACCACAGCACCTTTCTGGTGCATGAGGACACAACAATCGTTTTCTGCCCATTGCTTGTGGTTGGCAGTGTCACCTGGCTTCGACAGCATTGACCTCCACCACTGGGATTTATGTGCGGTCTAGAGCACATGACAGAGAAGGTAAGGAAGTAGGACATCTGTATTAGGGATCCTACACCCTATGGCCTTGCCTCCAAATAAAATTAAATGTTTAACTTCATGTTCTATTGATTATTTTAAAATTCAAAGCTATTTAACTTTTCCCCACATTACTGTGAGGGTGGTGAGGCACTGGAACAGGCTGTCCAAGGAAGTTGTGCATGCCCCATCCTTGGCAGTGCTTGGCCAGGTTGGATGGAGCTTTGAGCAACCTGGTCTAGTGGAAGATGTTCCTGTCATGGCAGGTGGGTTGGAATTAGGTGATCTTCAGGGTCCCTTCCAACCCAAACTATTCCATGATTATATGATTAGATTTTCAGAATTACAGTTCTGTGAAAAAGCTTTTCACTCCTCTGCAGATGGAGGTTCATTCAGAAGGGTTTAAGTTGTGTGTGCAAAGTTGAACACCCACTTTCAAACCAACTCTCTGTAAGATTGTTTCTAATCTGAAGTGTCTGAAAAAGGGGCACCTTTTTTGCTCAAATGATCGCTTTTCCATGATTTCTTGAGATCAGAGTTATTGAAGTACTGGAAGCTCCTCTGCCTACCATATTTAAACATTGTGGTATGAACAGAGCAAAACAGCCATTCAGCACTGAAGATTGTTAACACTCTTGCCTAGATGATTTGAATGATCTCTGAAAAAGTGAAAACATGATAAATGACATTTTGTAGGGACTTGTGCTGTGAAAGATTCTTGGGTGGTTTGATCTTTGATTCAGATTATGGGTATGTACCTTTTACTGTGGTCCATCTGTAAAGAACGTAATACTTGCACAGAGTGTGAAGAACAGAGCCAGTGAATGTAAATAATGGAGTATTTGCAGGGAATGGAGAACTTGTAGTATTTGTACGCTTCATGGTAACTGCTGAACAGAAACTGGTGTAAAATTTAACTGCAACTGAAAGATTGTGGCCTGGAGTAGAAGGCAATAACTGTCAGACTGCACAGAGTTTGAGGACTGTCTGAGAGCTTGGCGCTTTGAGGATTGTCATCCATTAGTACTGTAATTATGTTATTTTTATAATTCAGGCATGTAACAAAGGGTGATTACAATGTAAAGGAATAAATGTTCTGCCAGTAACATGAACACTGCCTGAATACTATTATTATAAAAGAATTACTTAGATGTGGAAAAATATTGAAACAGCTATTTAAGCACTCAATTTGTAACCACCTCATCAGTAGCAAGGTGATAAGGAGCAACCATTGTGAGTCTGCCAACATCAAACTGAGTCAAACTAATTTAACTGCTTTCTTTGGCAGTGTCCCTGGGTTACGGAGCAGTTTGCAAACTGGTACCAGGGAAACATAGCTTTAGGGGCTGGTGGAGAAATGTGATACCAGAAAGCTGCTGGGAACACAGCAGTGGTGGTGCAAGTAGGTGGTGGCAGCAGTGACAGGGGTAGAGGCTTGAAGTGCAATGAGAGGGCTTCAATCAGACAGTGGAGAGAGCAGGAGCAGACTGAACCTGGCTGTTGGCAGCCACCCTCTCACGTCATTGCTCCTTATTTTCTCCTGCCTGAAGTTTAGAGTGCAGGACAGTCATAAGTAGCTGCAGAGAGTGCTGTGACCCATTTGGAGCACAGCACATTAAGAAAGTTGCTGCTAAACAAACCTTTTAATGTTGAGAAAAATGTAAAGAAAAATTTAAATATACCAGGTAGGTTCAGTCTAGGGAGGAGAGATGATGAGGAAAGTCAGATACATAATAAACTGGCATAAAAAGAATGATGATGACTTACTCTCCATGTAATTGGCTTGGTCCTTTTAGGTTAATTAAGTATGCTTGGGGAATAACTAGTATAACAGTGAAATGCTACAGGAAGCAACTTAAGCTTTGGAATCTACGATATGGGAGGCTTATGAATAACAGGGGGACAAACACCAGTTAAGAAGGGTCCAGACATACTTGATGTGCTTCAGAAAAAGGGAAATTGAGTAAATGGTTTCTACAGTTTCTTTACAGTCATGTGTTTGATTCTACAGTTAGCATGAATAACACTTAAGCTTGCATGAAGTCACTACATTTTTTTTTAAGTAAGTTAAACTTACAGGAAGAAAAAAAATAACTAAAACAAATCACGTAGATTTGCTACTTAAATTTGGTAAAATAATATAAGTAACTTGATCTTCACGTTAACATTGCTATTCCATGTTGCCAACATCACTGAAAGCAGCTCAACAAACGTAACTGCTGTTTCTGAACATTTTTTCTGAAGAGAAGTGATGCTGCTAACAAACATAAAAACTTACTTCATTGCTAGTGATTTTATACTACAATTTAGATTAAGTTTTATTTGCATAGTAGTCTTTAAAGGGAAGCTAAGGAAAACACATACTAAAACCAACCAACAAAAATTAAAACCCTAAAATTACTAATGACAATGTATACTCACTTTAAAAAATCCTGCTATTTTATGACTGACTTTCTGAACACTCCAAACCAAAGTACTTTATTTCTACATATTATCAAAATAGCTATTTGTTTTCAGATTAGAGTAAAATCTCACAGAGGAAAGAAACGCATAAAACTGTACATGATTATTTTACAATTAGTGTTCAGATGCTTATTGGGTTCTGGAGGGAATTTCCTAAAGTCATAGATACAAAAATAGAGAATCATCTTTATTAACGAGGTATGCATTTGTTCAGATCAGGTTTCTTGGGATACAGCCTTCTATTTGGACTTCAGCTGGCCACCCATTGTATCTGTTCTTCTTCTGGTCAGAGTGGTTTATCTGTTTAAAAATTTAAAAATAAAAAAAAAACAAAAACAAACAAACAAACAAAAAAAAACCACCTCAATATTTGGTACTCCATTTATGAACCAGTTTGTTCAAACTCATACAACAGAAGGGGGTAATCGGATAGGACTGGGAAGCTGAGTAATACATTGCACATCTTGCTCAACATAGTGGGTGAAAATTCCCGCAGTTTCTCTCTTACACAGAGTGCTTTATTTATTTCCCAGGTGGCTGTCTTAATATACACTAAATTGAATGCCTTCTTCCTGCAGAAGCTCTGTATGTGGAGAAGATTGCAACAGTATTTTAGGAAAAAACCCCAACCAAACAGCTATGAAAGTTTCATGAGCCTTTAGAGGGAGTCACTATCATCAAGCGAATTGACCTCTGTATTGGGTTTTCTCATTTCTGTCAGCCTCTGTCATACAGATGAGCACTACTGGGCTTATAGAAAGCAAATACAACAAGGTCACAGATGCAAACAGAAATCTGATGTAAAAATGGTATCTTTAGTCCTCCTGAAGCCTGAGGGTATGTTATTCAGAAAAGTTTTATAATGCAAACGTTGCTGTATTTGCATGGCCAGTCTGTGCCAGCCCAATTTTCATATAAAGATAGGCTTCATTTTAGTAATCCTTGCAATTTGTTCTTCCAGAAGAAAATGTAAGTCTCTGTACAGCATGGCAGGTTGGACATTCTAAAACTGAAACTCTAGAATCGCTGGTCACTTCTGAAATTTGTGTACAGACGGTTTAGTGCTGGTGTGGTAGAAGTCAGTACTGTACATGGCCCAGATCCAAAGCAAAGAATGATGACACATTAGAGAACTTGCTTTGTGCGACTGAGGCTTACTGAACAGACTACAGTTATAGCTAATACATGAAATCTGCACCTGAAGATTTTACCTTATATACAGACAAATATAAAGTGAAAATAAAAAAACCCTGACCTTTTCTTTTTGGATGTCATCTGGCAGCTTGAAGCCTTTGGCAGCTATAAAAACCCAGCTTGACCTGAACTTCATATTCCATATTTCTTTACTTCCCAGCTCTTCTACTGACTTTTTGGCAACATTTTTCAACCTAGGAAAATGTAGTGGAGAAAAGGATTAAAAATTCAGTATGTGAAAAATGCTGAACAAGAAACCAGCTGAATCATGCTTTGCATTAGTAACTCAGCAGAAGCAAAAATGAGAAGCTTAAAAAACCCTGAAAGCTGTCTTAGTAGCATGCTGATACACTTCCAGAGCAAAGTTTTCTTTCTCCTCTCCACATTCCTGGTGTTAATACAGCCAGTTTGTAACAGCAGAGCAGAAACAAAAATGTTTCTCAAATACTATTTGATGTTTCAAGCCTTCTTAAATAAGGACAAGGACATCAATTGTTTATCAAATGAATGATTAAGTCTTCTGCTGTATAGTTACCATATAATGAATTTAACTAAAAAAACCCTCAAGGTTCAAAAGCACTTGAAGATTCAGGTTAAGATGTCAAAAGGAATGCAAACTAGATACATTGTAATTGGAGGTGCGGACACCTTAACAGGTTACCTCTGTGACCCAGAGGTAAGAACAGTGTCCTCTAGGAGAATAACTAGTGCTTTTGAACAAATATAATGCTATCTATCCATTTTTGGAATCATCAGCATACATGATATGGGTAAGCACTGAATGGACATGGATTAAAAAACTTTTTAGCCAGGAAATGAGAGAACAACCCTGACTATAGAATGAAATTTACCATTCCTTTATACCATTATGCAATCATAATTTTCAAGCTATTCCTTGCTCTGTTCCTTAGCCTGTCATGGATAACTTGCTTACCGGGTGCTTCCATCATCATGAGTCACCATCAGAAGGAGAGACTCTTCTGGAGCATTTTTAATGAAAGCCATCATCTCTCCTGAGTGGTCTGTTGAATCAATTACAAACTGATTATACATTACAAACATATCACATTCCACTTACTTTGAACCTGCTTTCACTTTTTGGCCTCATCTATTCAAAATGAGACCTAATTAGGCTTTTTTTTTTTTTTAATGTTTACAGGCAGAAGCCCTAATCCTGAAAAGAACAGAAAACTGCCAGCTCTCATTGAAGGCTAGAAGAGCATGGACTGGTCTGCATTTCCCAACAGTAAACACAGATACTTCTGAACTTCTATGAAAATCATTTATGTCCAGGGTGGCTTCTTATGCTTACCTCACACAATATTATACATGCAAGCTAAGCATGGAATAGGCCAGGAGAAGTCACTGCTACTCTGTGAGCTTCCTACTAGCATGCTAACTACGGAGCTGAATTACACACTTCAGTGCCCACCCACTTTGATTAAGTGGCAGCCTATTTGCAGCACTAAGGTATTTACTTGTTTTGCAATTGCTAAACATACATGAGACACTTGTCTTCCATATAAAAAAAAAACCTGTAACAGGCACCCTGGAGACATTACTGTCTACATACCATATATAAATTGTAGCCCCATGATTAGCCCCAGTGCATTCTATTTTGATGTAAGGCCAAAAGCATTCTTAAGTGGTCAAAGAATCATCTTCCAGTGCACCACAGCATTCTGTTTTTCCTTACTAATGGTAATGAAATTGCTATTGTTCAAAGTTTGGAAAGTGTGTTAGGAGCTAGTCTTAAAGTAGATCATCTTTCTAGCTATATGGAAGGATGGTAAGAGACAGACTAGCATATTTCTTAGGATGATTTTACAACTAAAATAGAAGAAAATATATTAAGAAAAGGATTTTTTTTTTGAGGGAAGCATCTGGATGTGGTACCAGATTAAGGGCTATTCCTACCAGACTGAAATCATGGAGGGGGAGACACTTAAAAAACGGAAACTTGACAATTGAAAAAAACCAAACCACAATCACCTATCTCAACCAACAGGAGAAATGCAGCTTATCAGGCTAAATTTGTCATCAGATCTGGCCGGAGAGTATTTTATGAAGAAAACAGCCGTTTGTTTCTAGCTGATCCCCATTAATACTGCAATCATAGTAATTTGAAAGTGCAGGATAATCATGTAACTCATTTCTTAACACTGAAACACTAACAAAAGTTCTGTTAGACTCTTTTCCTTACCTCCTTTCCACATGTCAAAAAATTTTGTTGATGTAACTTTTCCTGTTTTATCTGTAATTAAAACAAGAAGTTGTGTAAATAGGAGCAAAAATTATTAAAATCAATCAGCATATACAGTGTTTTCAGCTAAAGCTAGGCACCTCTACTTTTGTGTATTACTGGGCCTCGGAGTTTTCTTTTGCTTAGGTTTTTAAATTGGAAGGAATATGGAATAATATCAATTTAAGATTTGGAGAGAATATTTTGTTTCATGTAGTCTTTGAATCATCAAATTACAAAGACATTTTTATTACTTTTTATTTTAAAGAAGAAATTCATTTTACTGTGTCCTTCCATGTTTTTGTATCTACATATACTAAACTAGATCACAACCCTAAATAGGAAAAATGGTTACACCTAAGACTGTTTGACTGAGCTTAACACTATTCTGTGCAGTGTTTCAGATGTGAAGGCCTTCATACGATTTGAATGTCGGTGGACAGGAACTGAACATTCATCATTACTGCATGAGAAATTGGGCATGGAAACAATTAGTAATAAAACATTTTGGTCAATATTCATCATTAATTATGCTGCTGCTTAGATGGCTATCTTTATTTAAATAACACATGTACAAGTGGAAACACTTTTCAAATTTCTAAATCCATGTCAACTGTGTTAAACTGATTTTTGTTATCCAAGACCCTGGTTGGATTCCTGCTACTGAGAGGGTCTTTTCCATTTAGAATGCATCAGCTCATTTCTAGTAACAAGATCCAGTAGTTCCTGATTCCTTTCTGGCTTATCTTTTAACCATATAGTGTCAAATCATAAAAGCAGATACTTTTGAACATAGGACTCTAAATGGAAGGTTTATTGTGTGGATGAAGGGAAAAGGTGGCAAAAATCTGTCAGCAGTAAAAGCATTCTAGAACTGGGCTTATTCTGAGCAGAGATCACAGAAAATGTTTATATAAAAAAAGTATGTCTGTGTCTAGCACTTTTTTCTCTTACTTACAATTCACGATGGCAATGTTTATACCTCTTCCAACATTACCCTTCTCTTCACTTATAAGCCTGGAATAGGAGTAAACACAGTATCAGTATAATGCATCCATCCAGAAGCTCTGACCCAAAGTTATATTTACCAGTGCTAAGTCATTTACTGATGCTCATATTTTCTTCAGTTATTTAATTCAAGACTTTGTAGCAAACAAGAGCTATGGCATAAATATCTTCCACATTTTACCTGTTTCCTTCTGTTTCCTTCAGCCATGCACAACTAATCTTTTAAAATGGGCCAGATCAACAAAGTACTTCATACAAATGCAGCCAGAAAAATAAAGGAGAAAAAGCCCTAACCCAAGATAATATGTGGTTTTGTGGCAGTATTCTATGTGGACTGTATCACAAAAGATCACTGCAAGGTTTTGAAGTCATTCTACCTGTCTAGTTTGAAAAGCCATGAAAGAACCTGACTTTGAGAAGGTGTTGACAATTCAATGTACTGTAAACTGGCTATCCTGCACCATGAAAACTAAAAATCATACTTAAAGCTAACAGTTGAATGTATCTTATGTAGAGGAACAAAAAAAAAACCCTGATACTAGGTATTTAACAAAAAACCCAAAACAAACAAACCAATACTTTCTGCTACTGAACCAAAATGAAACACCCTTCTTCACACTACAAAGCACTTGCTTAGATTTAAAGTTGGACAGTTACTCACAGCTCATCCTCAAAACAAATTTTAGCCAGCTTTCCTTTGCCACCACCACTAAGAATCCGATAGGCGTAGCTCCCTGGTGAGCAGGGAGACCAGTGATCACATTTCTGTCTTTTCGGGACTGGAGCTACAACAAGAAAGATGAGAAAATCATTTATTGGATGCTGCAAAACCAATTAATTTATGGAAAGAATCACTTCATTATCAACATGCTAAGCTCAAACATACATATACAGAACCCAGTCCTGCCAGTTTTCCAGTATCATGGGGTGCTGGTTTTCTCTGGGGTGGAGTTAATATTCTTCATAGTAGCTAGTACGGGCTGTGTTTGGAATGTGTGCTGGAAAGTGTTGAATACACAGGGATGTTTTAGTCTCTGCTGAGCAGTTGCTTACACAGAGCCAAGGCATTTTCTGCTCCTCACACCACACCATCAGCGACGCTTGGGGATGCACAAGGAGTTGGGAGGGGACACAGCCAGGACAGCTGACCCCAGCTGACCCAAGGGATATCCCATATCATATGGGGTCATGCTTAGCATGTAAAGCTGGGGGAAGAAGAAGGAAGGGGCGTCCACCCAGAGTGATGGCAATTTTCTTCCCAAGTACCTCCCATGTATGATGGAGCCCTGCTCCCCTGGAGATGGCTGAACACCTGCCTGCCCATGGGATGTGGTGAATGAATTCCTTGTTTTGCTTTGCCTGCATGTGCAGCTTTTGCTTTACCTATTAAAAACTGTCTTTATCTCAACCCATGAGTGTTCTCACTTCTACCCTTTGGATTTTCTTCCCCATCCCACCAGGGGAAAGTGGGTGAGTGGCTGTTTGGGGCTTAGTTGCTTGCTGAGGTTAAATCACAACATAAGGCAACATTATCTCACATTTACAGGGACTTTAAGTTATCATTGACTTTCAAACAGCTGCTGGACCAAAAGCAAGATTATTTAGGGAAAAATGTTCCATATGATTTGATTTGATCTGAATCCAGAGTGATTATTTTGTGATATTTCATATAACAGGAAAGAAGGACTAGAGGGTTGAAGGTTTACTACCTTGAAGTTAATAATGATTTCACTTTAAGGCTTTTTCACATGGCAACATAGTCATAAAATGAGGAAAATGTACATATTAAGCCACCCAGTCAGATCTGAGAGAAAAAGTAATAAGAATTTAATTACAAAGCGTGGTTAGTGATTCAACACTTTACCATAACTATAAAATGCATGTGATAGAACCAAAGCTGCAGCTATAGCTGTGTGCTTATATGCCAGCAAATAAATAAGGTGTTCTTACATTACTATTCAATTAATTGTATTTGCATACTGGCAAATATAGGCTGATATTGTGTTTCTTGAAAGATAGTGTCTTAGAAATAGTTCAAACTTGTACTTTACACAGCCAACTTCATTCTTACAATAGAATGTATTTGTTAGCTAACAAGCCATTTGTCATTTAGCATGTAAATAGACAACATCAGATATAATATAAGGGAAAAAAAAAAAGAAATACAACTACACACCCCTCAACACTGGTTTTCTTCCAATGTCTTGAAGATTAGCCATAGGTGTTATTGTCTTTTGGGGTAAAAGATCAGCAAATAAGTATCCTAAGCACCAAGCAGCCAACAAAGTCACCAGAATCCTTCCTAATTTCACAACACCTGCCAGGGAATGGGGGTAAGAAAACCACAGAGACATAAAGATGTTTTCATAGCAACACACAAACTCTTGCATTTCTCTGGCATTGCTTCAGAAACTGGTTACTTTACTTCTGACACGCTATGTTAGCCACAACCTTCAGAGGCAATTTATTTGTTGCATTCCCATCTCTGACAATCCCTGCTGTTCATAAAACTTGATCTTCAAGCAGAGTCCTCCCCACAAGGCTCCTCTCAATCCACACCCTATATACCCCAAAGAAACATGAAGTTCAATTTAATCCTCCTGGGATTTTGACTCTGGAATTTAAGTAACAGATACTATACATGACTTTATGGGTAGTACGCAGTTACTATTGATTTTCTGTGACAGGCAGACACTACAGGAACGGTTTAAAACACCAACCATAAAAGGAACTCCCTCCATCCACCCTTTTGACATGCTGGGTAAAAATAACTGAAGAAGGCCCAAATAATTCACACAATGAGCTCTGACTCCATTTAAACGTGATTAGAGTGACTGTTTCACCTTGTTTCAGTTACATCACAGCTTCCCTGGGCTGTATTAGCAGTGCATCTATACACTAGGAAAACAATGGGATTCACAATTTTCCTATGAAAAACATGAATAAATTCCATAGTAGGTATCATCTCCTCTTCCTCGTCATCAGAAATGCTAACATACATTCTTGATCTAGAAGAAATGCACTACCTAATTTATAAACAAGGAAATATCACACTGCAGTTGTGAAACTGATGTTTGTATGTCATATTTCCTGATCTGTAAAGAAATATGCCGTTGAACATAATGATCTGTTAAAAGGAAAAAGGAAAATTTTTAGTTTCATAGGCCTGAAAATCAAGTTCAACAGAATCAATGTCCAAAAATATCCAGTATGTTCACTTTGCCAATCTGCTAGAACATATTGCATATTATATAGCCTAAATCTTCCATGAATCAGTTTACATTCCTTTCATTCTTGGAACTGCTACTAAGATTTCTGCCCTACCCCTTCTCTAGAATAAGGCCAAATTGTTTACTTGCTCTCCTCAAGTCCTGTTTTGCAGGTCCTACCACTCTTCCGTGAATTCTGCCAAATTAGTCTGCTTCTTTTACTGCAGAATGGATACACTAGTCCAACACACACCTGATTCTGGAGGCTCTACTTCTGGTTATTCATGCCACAAATAAGTTTGTACATTGAAGTTATGAACATTGAAGGTTCTTCTGTAAATAATTCCAGTTTCTCATTTCTTGCATCAGGAAAAAAATTTAAAAAGAGGACAGTAAACCCTTTTAAGATACTGATCTGAGCTCTTAAAATGTTCGGTGACATTGTATTCATTGTATTTAGGAGTCACAAGTATGTGCATTTGTGTGACTCTAAGAAAGATACTCTGAGAAACTTACTATATTTTCATCAAAGGATTAAGATTGAGAAAGTAATATAATGAATCTTCAGAGAGATAACACATTTTCTAATTATTTCCTCGGTCTAGAGAAATCTGTCTCTCTCTTCCACTGGTAGTGATACAAACTTGCAATACTGAAAATTACGTCAACATTTCATTCATACAGTGAAAGTGGACAAGAACACTGACAAAGTTCATGTGCACAAAGAAGGAAGCTGCTGGAACCAAGCAGAATAAAACTTACTTGTCTTTTCTATTTTGAGTGTGTGTATATATATATATATATATATATATATATGTATAAACACACTCTCTATATATTAAAAATATATTTTTATACATATAAAAATATATATAATATCTACTACATATATATATTTGTAAAAACAGATTTATACACAAAACATAATTTGCAAAGGAGACCATATCACCGTTTTCAAAGACAAAACTCAGGAAGAATTATGTGGAAACTACAAGTCTATTTAAAGATTTCAGTAATTATTTCTTTTCATGGGGTGGGGTGCTTTGTAAAGATCTATCAGACCAACAAGCCAGGTTTTATTTTGTTTTTTCTGTTGTTTGTTTAGCAGGTTTATCTTTACAGTGATTTAGTACTGTTTTTCATCATAATTGTGGAGCAACTCTGTGGCAAAATAGGCTCAACAATTCAGCATTTTACCTAAGCAGAAGGGAAAATACACAGTATGCTAGAGATTGGAAGGGACCTCGAAAGATCATCTAGTCCAATCCCCTTGTCGGAGCAACAGACTATCTAACTTCTGTTGCTATATTCCATGTTTTATTTCAACAGCAAGTTGCTTAAACTTTTCTCAAATATCACTTCTAAAGTTTAAGAAATACATTTACTGAATCTTCTACACAGTTCAACAGTTTTTCCTTTCTTAGGTTCATAATGCACTGGGGGGCTGCACTGACTCTATCTGCTGGGTCCAGCCAGATCTTAGCTTTATTGAGGTTACATATCCTGCACATGTGTACTTTTTTGAGTACCTGCACGGACATGCAGAAAACCCTACACAACAGCAGTTAGGCCATAAACTCAGGTAAACATAGGATAGTTAAGGGAGCTTAAGATTTGCTATCCACAGCAGTTGGGAGTTATAAAAAGCAAAGTCCAATCTACATTCACGAAAACAAGACAGTGTTTTTGTTGATTTTTAAGGCTGTGGCTCCTCGACCCACTACTTGGCACAACACGGAGGAGCAGGATAGGGACAGCGTGCCACAGAGGTGCTTCCTGCGCTCTGAGAGGTGGCACAACCCTTCCTCTCTCTGTTTCTGCCACAGAGAAGTACTCAGGCAGAGATACTCAGCGATACTCGCGGTACCAGATAGGCAAGAGGAGCAGGAAGGAGGACACCCTGGGTGCTGATCCTCTTTCAGACGCTGCCCGAGGCTCAGCTGCGAGACCTAGCCCCGGCACCAGCCCCTCCTCCCCGGCCCGGGAGCTCGGCTCACCCTGGCCTCAGGGAACACCGTGGGGAACAACCTTCCTGCCCCGTCCCCGCTGCCACGGGCTGGCCCGGTAAGCCGGCAAGCGGCCCCAGATCACCCACCTGAGGAGGGCGCAAGGAGACAGCGAGGCACCGGCAGCCTCGGCGGGGGGTACCGGGCGGCTACGCCGGCGCCCTCCTCACTCGGCGGCGAGACCCCAGCACCAGCGGGATTGCTACTCACATTGCCGGTTCAGCCACATCATTCACCCGCCCTTCCTCCTCGTCTTCGTCCCTCTCCCCCGCCTCGTCCTGCAGCCACTGGGACGGTGCGGGAAGGGGAGCGTCCACCTGTCAGCGCCGCACCGCCCCGGCGCCGCCGGCGGCACAGCACAGCACGGCACCGCCGCCCGAGCCCCGCCGTCCTGGGCCATTTCCTCTGACGGGGAGGCCACCTTGTCGGCCGCTTGGGGTTTGTCCTGGTAATGGCCAGGGTTTGCCTAGTGTTTCAGCTATCGCTGTGGCACAGCAGAGTCCCACTGTAGCCCCTTCCTTCCTTCAGTCACCGCCGGGATGACTCAAGTCCTATCACGGGCACCAGCTCACCCGGCTGTACCCTTGAATCATCTTTTCTTGTCGTGGGCCCTGCTGGTGTTGCAGACAAAGTGTCATGGAGCCTTGTCTGGATGTTTCCTTCTCCCTGTGGTAGCTTGGTCAGTTCTCAGTTGCCATCACCCGTGTGAGTATTGTAAGAAAAATGTAGGAGATTTTATTATGAGCGAGCTATCGGCAGAATGGAAGATCTGTAGGGCATGGGGTTCCAGGATGTGGGCCCCAGCCAAGGGAGTTGGGATAATTATTACCAAGTCGGTGATAGGCACATTTGCATACAATATGTTATACAGATAAGGAGTTTATGTAACTGCAAGGCTTGAACACATGCACCAGAAGCTTCACTCATGAGGAAGACTCGGAGCCTTCTTCCCTATGACCACCAGTGACCCTCTGAGAGCTGTCAGAGGGGAGGGGTTTGGGTTCCTGGAATGTGTAAATCATTTCTCAGAAGAGAGCGGGCATAATTGAGAAACAAAACCTAGAAAGGTATATAAACTGTAAATATCTGCTAGAGTGGGTGTGCTCATCTGCCCGAGGATGATCCACCCAGCATGCTGCTGTTAAAGGGCTCTTTGCTTCACAATTCCCATCTGTGAAATTTTGATTGCTGAGCAGGTTTCTCACAACCCACCAAAAAACCTGGCACCACTTATACTCAAGATGTGGGCAATATCCCCACTGAGGCACTGCAACAAGTTGCCCAGAGAAGCTGTGGCTGCCCCATCCCTGGAAGTGTTAAGTCCAAGCTGGATGGGCCTTTGAGCTACCTGGTCTAGTGAAGCTGTCCTTGCCCATGGCAAGGAGTGGGAAACAGATGGTCTTTAAGATCCTTTCCAGTCCAAGCCATTTTCTGATTCTATGATTTACTCCAACTCCCCAGCCTCCCAAAGCCAGATGTAAGGAGTGTGAGCACAGCACAGTGCTGGCAGCGCATATTTTCTAGTCTGTGTCAGTTAATGTGAAACAAAGGCGCTGCCCATCAAGATCCCCACATCGTGGACTTGCTTTTCTGTTTTTAAAACTTCCAGTTTCCAACATGCTCTGATTAATAGATGTTTGGAGGTCTGTGTGGGTGCTGAGCCCCACCAGTACCAGTCAGCTCTGACTATGAACCAAGGAAATTACAACTTACATCAAGAACAGCTTCTAAGGACTGAAGTAGCCACTCAAACATATTCAGGAAACTGAGCTGAATACCTTCAAGCTGGGCAAAACACAAACAAGGAAGCTAGTGATTTCATTTTGAAAATTGCTCAAACTACACTGTGAATTAGAATTTAGAATGAGAAGGGATACTACAGTATCCCTTAAGCTTCTTTGCTCCCTCTGCCTTTAGTGAGGCACAGAAATTATGTTTAGCTCAGCAAACAGATGAATAAAATCCTGCAGGAGGGCATATACAGGGTTGCAGCCAGACTGGGGCTTTTGCCTTCCTCCCAGGGCGCTCATGAAAGCTATAAATGTTCCAGTCCCTGGTAGAGAGGCATTTCTTGTCCTTCTCTGGAAGTGGGGTATTATAGTATCCTATAAATTACAGGTGAAGCCTGAGGGTGTAATTGCTGCTGGTTATTTTCCAGTGTACTGGAGCTTGCAAATGAAAAGCAACGTGCAATGAAACCTAGGTGTGCGAATAATTAAAGCTAAAGCATGGGACAAATAAACAGAAGAAATGAAAAGCACAGGACAAAAAGGAAAAAGAGTTATGAGTGGGCAAGAGAAAGTTAAGGACAACACTGGTCTGGGTTACTTTTCCAAATATGCAATTATTTCTGCAGGAACTGCTATCCTGCAAGACAGCACATCAGAAAATGGTGCATCTGCTAATAAATGATTGAAACCATTGAAGAGTGCATTTCTAACCTTTAAAGTAAAAATAATGTGTCTTAAACCCAAAATGCTACAGTTTGTGGTAGCCAGATGAAAAATTTTGCTACTTTTATTAAAGCAAGGAAAATTAATTAGAATCAGGATAATTTAGTTTTGAAATAAATTTATTGTATGAGCACTGGGGGGTCACAGCCTCCATGGATAAAAATTTTAAGCCTCTAGGAGTTTCGTCACTTTCTCAACACCTTTCTGTTGAAAACCCCATCATTAGCAATCAGTGTCTGTTGGATAACTGCCAATTTAGCTGCTTTTAGCCACAAGAAAATTGTAGTAGGTTTCATCATTTTCAGTACTGCCACAGCTGCACTGAACTACACTCAAGCATTTGCTACAAAACCAGGCAACACAGAAATTGCTTTGCTTGCCTGCCGAAGCCCAGGGATCCAGCGGCATCTAGCTGAGGGCAATTTAGATTCCAAAGGACCAGGGAACTTTGAAATGTTTTACTTCAGGTATTTCAGTTTTGTGTCTGCAAAAGAAAAGCAATACTGTTCTTTCTCTAGTAATTAATTAGAGATGTGGGATGTAGAACACTTTTGAAGTATCTTTTCTGTCCTTGCTCTGTAACCATTCATTCTGTAATTTGGAAGCTTAGAGAAAAATTTTCAAAACATGAATCTTCACTCTCAATGCTTGTGAGGCTGTGAGACCCTTTGGTGATAAGCAGCGCAGTAAATCTGCCCAGGATACAAATAACTCTTGCAGACACTAAATGGAACAGGTGAAGGTATGTATACGGTGCTTAAGTGTTATTCTTGTCTTATCAACACAAAGCTGCCGTCATTATGACAAATTTATTGGCATTTGCTAGCACTGTAAAATTACAAGAGATCAAGTTTTTTTTTCCCTTTGAGCCACTATACCTCCAGAGTTATTTTCTGTATCTATTGCACTTGGGTAGCAAATTAGCAAAAGTGGCATTACAGCCCTTGTAGCTTACATGTTTTCTGCCCATCCACAAATGGCCAACAATGTATTTTTACTGTTGCTAGGATAGATTAAAAGACCTTAATGATTTAAAATGGAGGCAGAGTTTGTAAGGCAGAGAAAGAGTACTGTAGCAAATTTTTGCATGTAGAGGTGACAAGGAGTTCAAGAGGTACCAGAAAAAACAGATCACCTACATAAAATATGCAACTGATGCTTAAGTTAACTAATTTTACCTAAGAGTTGGGACAGATACACATACACACTGACAATAGGGGTGGCAATAAGGAAGAGCAGTTCGTTAAGCTGCCATAACAGTCATGCTCCATCATGTGCTTGTGCCCAAAATTCGGGTAGAACCTCAGCATCTTGAATTGTGATAGCATCAACAGTAATGTGAAGAAATAGGGATTTAAACGTATATTTTAATACAATTTTTTTTTTCCATTTTTTTTTTTTCTGGTATACCAGGTGTCTATTATACCCAGGAGAAAATACTTAGAAGATTATGACAGCTTGTATATACTTCTTCTGTGGATATGTTAAAATCTTCCCCCCAAATATGCAACAGTGGATCATATAACAAAAGGCAAAAAAGCAAGCAACGACTACTTTCAGTTGGTAAGCTAGAAAACCTGTAAAGCTAGTGAGTCTAGTTCCCAGGACCATTAATTGCTGGACCATTAAACAATACAAAGGTAGGGCATATTTGTTTGTTTTTCTTAGCTTTGTTAATCCAAATATGCATTCAGATATGCAAGGAAAATACATTCAATTGCACTTCACTCAGATAGAAGATGATGACCAGCAAAATTTCCTCAGAATTAGCAGCAATAGCTTAACACATTATGGGCCCAAATCCAATTGTCTTTAATTCACAGTGTCCCAAACTTTTTGGAAGAGGAAGGCAAGGGCAAGAGGAGAGGGAAAGAAAAATCCATATATTAAATGCTGGATACCTTGATATGGCTTTGCACAATCCTACAGGATCTCTGTTGTCTGTTTTCTTGAAGTGCTGCTGTCAGCAGAGTCGTAAGGCCTCAGGTCTCTATTAGCACAGAACCTGTGCAATACCACATGATCTACAGACAAGTCTGGATATAAACAAATCTGCAAGACCACTCAATTAAGTAGGGACTTACCTGAGGGAGCTGCATTGGCAAGGTCCCAGCTATCAGCAGTCCCAAAGTGCTTGTAGCTTGATGACATCCTGTGCTATGTCCCAGGGCTCTCCCTTGAACCATTCTGCCAAAATAAGATTTCTCAACAAGGACCCAGGCTGATGCTACTGTGATGGGCTGAAGTCACCCAAGGATGATGCTGGAGTTCTAAAAGAGAAAAAACCACAGCAAATCCAATTTTGAAGCCCAATCTACACACACAGTGAGGGAGCTGGATTTCTTTCAGACTGTATTCTAGAGAAGTGGAAAGACAAAAATTGGGTATTGCTTTACCTGTGGGCCAGGATGGCAACAGACAAGGGCAGTCACAGTGGGTTGATATTTCAGGACTGTGGGAAAGAAGTGGGCATAAGGTAGTCAATGAAAGGGAATATACGTGTAAACCAGAAGACTGTAAAAATGCATCAACAGTTAAAAATCAGTATAAAACACCAGCCGAGAGGATGTTCAAGATGTACAACTTAAAAAATATACAGTAAGAATATGGAAAGCTGAAGTTAATGTTAGGCTTATAATTAAAAAAAACCCTTAAGCCAAAGAAAAAGTAAATAGTATTCTTATGCATAGTACTTCAGAACAGTGCTGGGTGCATGAAAGAAAAAAAGCTGAAGAATCACAATACCTTATTCATTCACAAAAAAAGTAGTTCTATCTAGCTAACAACTATAAAAATCCAATATGCTAATCATAGAATTATACAATGGTTTGGTTGGAAGGGACTTCAAGATCATCTAGTTCCAACCCCCCTGCCATGGCCAGGGATGACTCCCAGTAAACCAGGTCACTCAAAGCCCTGGCCAACCTGGCCTTGAACACTGCCAGGGGTGGAGCATTCACAACTTCCATGGGCAGCCTGTTCCAGTTCCCCGCCACTCTCACAAAAAATATTTTCTTCCTGATATCTAACCTAAATCCCTTGTTTAACATTTGTTTATATGCTGGCAGCATAGATTTATATGCTGGCAGCATAGATTCTTGTGGTCTTTACAATAACCTGTATTTCTTGGGAAATGCTATTTAATTTCCTAGAAAAACAAATTATGAGTCAAGGTATGATGTAAGCCTCTAGAAGGAAAAAAAACAACACTCCAAGCTATTTATTTTTACAAGAGTTTGTTTTGGTGCAGAAATGGAGGAGTAGTTAATGTTTACAGTTTAAGTGGGCATCAGAATTGCAAGTTGTCCTGAAAAATTACATTGAGCGCTTGAATTGTAAACCTTCATGTTACTTGTATTCACTTCACTGCTGCATCAAAAAAGCCATATTCTTACAATAAATTCTTTCATGCTTCATACATAAACTTACAAGGTATTTTATCTAGATGGACCAGTTTTAATGGGGAAAGATGAGCAAGACAAGTGTGAATGAAAAGACAGTTTTACAGTTTTGGATTCAATAAGCCTGAAGGACTGAGGTGCTCTGAAGATGATGGCAATTTCAAAAGCATAAGAGGAGCATAAGGAAAATACTGAATACTTGTACAGTACCCCTGTGAAGAGAGATATATAGTAATAGGTGGTCTTTGCTGAATATTGGGACAGTAATAAGGAAAACCAGGCAGCTTTGAAAGAAAAACACGTTATTAAACAGTTGGCGTTAATCTGTCTTGCTTAATCAATTCCCTAAGCTTATTAGCATGAGTTAGACACCATGCTACCTTTAAAGACAAAAGCTCAGGACTTCAAAAGGATGGAATTTCTAAAAGAGGCTTTTAGGAGGAGGGAAGAGGGATATTAATAAATGATTAGAAGACCCCAAGATAACAATCTTTTTAGATAGGATATTTCAAAAAAGAAAAAGAAATTGAAAGTACTTTTAATAGAATTCAAGCAAGACAACAGAACTGCTGTGAAAGGGCTCAAAACTCTCCTGCGTGAAAAACAAACCATGTGCGCCACCTCCCGGGGTACAAAACACCGAGCACAGTAACCATGCTTCTCCGGGCTCTCCCAGGTCAGAACCCAACACTCTGAGGGTGGCTGACTGTCTTAAGGACAGGGACATCCCATTTATATACCTTCTTGATTTATAGCTTAGGTCAGTAGACAGCAACAGTCCAAAAGACTACTTGAATCCATTCCAGATGATCAGAAGCTTGATCTTCTCAAGTTGATGTTTTCTCTACCTGCTTGCTGTCCGATACTGAAAAGAATTGATGAAAAGTTGAAGCAAGAACATACCAGTTATTTGAGCATAAGCAGGAAAAATCACCTTGGAGCTAAAGTTGCCTGCCTTCTCCCTTCCCTCCAAGGTTCAGATGAGATCTAAGGCAGTTCTGAATTCTTTTCAGAGCTAAAGCCGGAAGTTAGAATTGAAAATCATAAAGTACTAGGAAGAATTTGGATGGATATAATTTATCTGCTTTGAAGTTCATCTTAACAGGATTTAAAAAGACATACATAATAGGTTCAAAGAATTAATAATTTATTTTATGCAGCATAAAATTTGAATTTTTACATAGTGTTTATCTGAAAATGGAAAGACCTGAAAGTACAAAGTATCAATTCTTGGAAAATTCAGTTATGGGGCTTGACAGTAAGTGGGATAGACATCTTAACATCACCCAAAGACTGAATTAAAAAGACTATACACCTTTCTTTCAAAGTTTTGATCCCATTTTCCTTTCAGTCAATGTTAAAAATATTGCCTATTAAAAAGAAAAAAAAAAAATCAGGTGAAGAAATGCCTCTACAAGATGAAATAATTTTCTTAAAGGTGAAATCCTTTCCACACTTCCCAAATGCTATCAAATAACAGTTGATGTAGTGTTAAAGACTTAAAGGATTTCTGCACCTCCATGTAAAATTTTCAATAAAAAAACATGAACTGCCCATTTCAGATAAATCTTATTTAAACACTCAACCTTGTATAGTTTATGCATACACAGAATATTGGTTAGTGAAGCAATATTTTCCATGACACTTTTCAGTAATTCATGCCTTGGTGCTGTCAAGAAATTGTCAAGTTTTCTCTTCAGTACCATTTCAACATGCCTTTCTTGAGTCCATTTTTTTCATCATAGTATTTTCCAAAGGACAGCTACGTTGCAAATATGGCCATTTAAACATTCAACTATGTAATTCCTCTCTAAAACCACAGGAATAAACATATCCTTTGCAGGTTTTCCATGGCTCTGTGAAAATGTCTCTCTTCAAAGAGGGACATGATGAGAAGGTGGTTACAAACAATGCAGTTTATTCAAGTATTCTGCCTAAGTACAATGCTCTAAAATCAGAGCAGGCTGAGTTGCTCAACTGGAAAAAGCTAAGTGTCTCAGATGGCAAGAAGAGCCAACAGATAGTAAGGGTGCACTACAGTTGGTGGTAGTACAAAAAAATGGCAAGGCCTTCAAATAAGGGGTGTTCATCTGTTTAAGGAATGGTACTAACTCTCACAGTATCTTGCGGTCCTCCTCTCTACCACCATATTTCACAAGGATAGAGACAAAGAATGTACAGGACCAGCAACAAGCGGTTAAGTACTTCCAAGTTGGAAGTGAAAGAGGTTTAGGAAAGGCAGTCAAATGCACAAAGGAGTCCTTTGCACACAGACAAATTCAGGGATCACTGACACAGATGAAGCTTTGGCTCCAATTCTCCTCCTAATACTACTGCAAGTATTTTAAACCTAGAGTTACTTTCTAAAGCCTTACAAGCTACTTTAAAACAGGTCTGTGAATGGTCACAAAGGAAAACATCTCTTTTGTCAGAAGGCTAAATTTTGGCTACAGAGGTCTCCAGGACCTTTCAGGAACTTCTTTTAGGAACCCTTTTTTTTTTGTGGGGGGAAGGAATGAGGGGAGTATAAGACAGAAAAATCTGAAGATTTACAGCCAGTAAATTAGAAGGACAGGAGCCATAATAAAATACATTAATTTTAAGTGATTATCATAAATTACAAAACAATGGAGATAACACATATCGAGGGCTACTTCCTTTTAAATGCTAAAAATTAGCATCTGGGTTCTACTTTCTGGCTAGCTTAAAAGAAATTCTGCATGTGCCTTTGTAGTCTAATCTAAAATGCCCAGTATTTAAAAAACTACTCAACCACAAAGATCCAGCCAAAGCCTAGATAGAGTGAAAAGGAAAAGAAAAGCAAACACAAAACATTCTTATCTTACTGCATAGTCACCAATGCCAACGTATTTTAATATAACCTGTTTTGTTGCTGACAGACTATTGCTAGGGGTGTGGCATACACACTTTGGTGAGGGGAATGTTCAGTAACTGGCCAATGATTTACTTAAAGATGATCAAGCCCCTCCTTCACCTCTGAGTGGATAATTCCCAGTAGCAGCAATAGGTACCTTAGAGTCCACTGGCTTTCAAAATATCCAGACAAGTGAACCCTTACCAAAGAAGGTTCACAAAGAAGCCAGGTGACTGACTGAGGTTACACTTACAGCAGCTTGTCAGCAACTGCTCTCTGCTTCTGCACTACCAAGGAGCTTCAGCCTTGATTTGGAAGAAGGCTCAATTATTTAGCATCTCCACAGTTCACAACACCAGCCAGCTTCAGCTAACCACAGTCCTTCTGTCAGTTAGTGCAAGCCACAGCAGTGGCTTTTGTGGTACGGATCTGTGTCACTCAGGGGGTTGGCTGAAGCCACCAACTGTATTTCAGATATGTTACTGACAAGCCATTACCAGGACTCTGGACTACTCGCAAGCCTGACCTAATGTCTAAGTAGGCCACAGAAGCCAGAAAATCTTACTGGCTCAGAAGATTGCTCATATCCCATTACCAATCTGTTTTCACTTCTCTGAGCAGCAGCAAGAACAGCAGCAGCGAGAAATGAACAACTTCTCAGAGAGTCAAGTTTGACAGGAACTAATGTCTTGGTAAATTGTACAGACCTTCTTAAAATGATCAATCTGTTATGCACTCAGTATTTTTAATGAAGGATAGTTTACTTTTTTATCTTTCCACAATTTCCTTTATTTTCACCTCCATTATGTCATTGTATCAGTGCCCTTCATTATGCAGCTTGTATCATTACTTATAAATACGAGGCTCATGTCTGAGATCAGGATATGACCAACTAACCTAGTTGTTGGAAGCCCCTATAGAAATCAAGGAAACGTTCAGTAGCACAATAATACTGGATTATCAGAAAATCTAAGGACCACTCTCTCTGAAAACTTGCTGTGTTAAGCAATTCTCATGAACCTTTTCATATTTAAATGAAAAGCTTAGTATACAAACGGCTCATCCTTCAGTCAAACACAGGCAGCCAACACACAGCAAGTAACTGGGCAGAATACCCATAGGTTGACTTTAGTTGATAAAGAGTTTACTGTTGTTAAGCAACTGTTACATTAATAAGAAATACCAAAACTGATGGCTCTGTGATTATTACTAGTTAACTTGCACAGCATCTAAGCAGCGAACTGGAATGGTATGCTGCCTTGATATATTCCATTTAGATTGATTCAGCATGCAAATCCTAATTCCAGCTCTTTCACCTTAAAAACAGAACAATCTCCTTTACCTAACTTCTTTTACAGAGACTGAAAACAAAAAGGCTTTTAATATTTTTTCTTCTGTTTTCTTCAGCATTTAAATTGAGCCAAAAAGCCTATTGTAATCTTTCTAAACCTCGTGAAGGCAGTGGGATCGAACTAACATATTTGCATACCTGAACTCAGGTTTGACTACTTGAACTCAAATCACGCATCTTCAAACCCCTAACGATTGCACTGATAACATCAGTTATCTAAAGGCTGCATCCTAAGAAACAGTCCCTGACATTTTTATGGTACATGATATTACATTCACATTAGGAGAATGCTGGTTCTGCAAGAAATATTGATACATATATAAGGAATAGAGTGCTGCGATTTGGAGCATTCTGTCTTTCATAATAAACAGAGAATATTTTCCAGCACCATCTTTACTTAATGCTCTGATTTATATATATATATATATATATATATATATATATATATATTTTAGGTATGGTCTAATCTTCTTTCTGAAGTTAGTTAAGAGGAACACAAAATACCTGCCAGCACTCTCCTTTAAATAAAAATATATCAGGTAAAGATATCACCAGTAAGATACACTGGTAACACTGTAATCTGTTACTGTATTTCATCTTTCATAGAAAAATGCCTGAGAGCATTATTTTTCTTAATGTGCTGTAGGCTAAAAATGAACCCTCAAGGGTTTCTATTGCTTTTCTTGTTGCCAGAGCAACAAAGCAATACTCACCTAAATATCTGCCAGTGTAAGTATCAATTTACAAGCTGAGATGAAGTTTGTGCTGCTAGCAGATGTCGCTAACAGCATTTTTACTAAAAGCCAAATTTTAGTGACAAGGGATGCCTTGAAATTCAAGAATATATCACCATTTCATTTGTGCTACTTGATTATTGCTCCTATAATTCAAGTGTTTCTATTAAAATGTCTTGACCAATGACATTCAAAGTGAAAGGGCAAAACTGAAAGGTTTAATATAAAATCTAGCACACTGAAAGTACTTTGTTAAGCAACTGCAGAGAAATCCTGCTTGCCATTAGAATGTATACCAAGAACCTTTCCCAGTAAATTCCTTCCTAGTATTCTTTATGGTAAGGAGATCCGAGGGAGTGGGGAGAGGGAAGCAGCTAAGAAACAGTTTAAAGAGCATACAAGTGTTACTACTTTCTGAATTGAAAAAAGGCTCATTGTTTACCACTGTACCAATTGAAACATTCACACTGTGTTTCTATTTGAAACAGGTGACAGAAGCATTACTTATATTAACATACTGTAGAAGAAGGAATACAATGTTAAAATTATTTGTTATGTATATAACCAAACACGGGAGGAGGATACGGAACCAAACCACAGAATTGGAAACACCACTCTTATCTTTTCAGAGCAAAGTATACTGCTTTAAGAAAAACTCAAGGGGACTTCTTTTTTGTTATAAGTGTACTAAAAAGTCTAATTATAAGACATTAAAAAAGAAACATGGAAAATAGAATACAGAGAAACACCTAAGTTCTACAGTTTCTTACATTTCCTATAATTCATCATTTTTCTCCTTTTACAAAGTAAGAGGCAAAGAAGGGAGGCAAACTCAAAAGTTCCTCCTAATTCCAAGAGAAATAATTTTCAGACATTGGATCACGACACCTATCATTTTACTGTATTCAGCCAAGCAATTTTAAAGTACAAGAATTAAAAAGGAAAGAAAACCACAGGCACTTCCAGTTATGAAGTGAAATACATGAGTTAGTTAATAAAAACCAAGAGTGCTTTATTTTCACACACATAATGTTCACCTCTGTAAAAGCACCATTTCTGAAAAGAAGAAGTCTTTGCTTATTCCATGCAGTCAGATGCAGAGGCAGTGTGAATAAGAAAGCCATACTGAAGGGACTATAGGCAGAAAATTTTCCAGGCAAGGGATTGGCAGATTCAGAGCCAAGCTTCCTTTTTTTTTCTCCTTGTTTCCCACACAAATATGAAAACTGCTCTGCTATCAAAATGCGAAGGAATTTTTTTCCCATTTTTTTTTTTTATTCCCTTCCCATGCCCCCAAACCAGATAACTAATAGTTATCACAGGACTCCTCAACCTTGTATTGTTTATCTTTCAACCTGACTATGCCAGTGCTATAAGAAAGAGATGGAGGTCCTACAATGCTCACTGACTTGATACAGGAAAAATTGTCCTATTTGCAAAGAAAATACCATGTTCTGACCTTGGCATTAAGACTTGTGCTTGTACAGTGGAGGTCTGGTCAAATACATTCTTTCCTGCTCTCTCCCACTATTGTTTTCAGTTTTACGATGTTTGTTTTCAGATATATCAGAAGACATGGCAGAACACAGACCTTAACTTTATCATCTGTCCAATACATATGAAGACCAGCCTTTTCTAAGTATCAGTCATCCTTAACTCTAAAAAACCCAACCAACCCCACAAAACCCCATATCAGGGGGAAAACTGAGAGGCTTTTCTTTTGTGGACCAAAGTGGAAAGTCATGAAGTGTTAATTTTTATAAAATCCACTGTTTCAAAGCCAAGGAGTTGTATTTGGTTGTATGAGCATCTTGTGCTTCAAGACCAGTTCTAAGCCACAGGCTTACCAGTGGTATCATCCTTGTGGATTAAGAGAGGTAGTCTTGTTTTACACTAAGGCTGAACAGGTTTGTTCCCCAGTTTTCACCTCCTCAAACTATTTTGTAATGACACTCAGGAAGGGCTGCCCTCTCAAGTGGCAGCAGTGATCTTGAGGAAAAAAACCCACAGACCAACATTTCTTCCTGACCTCATTTGCATTCCTCTACTGCTTAAGTCTGGCCTTTCTCCCTCTCCCGCACCATAAGCACAGTTTCAAAATGAATTGATGTAAACATAAAGCAGTATTCATTTAATGCTATTAATAAGAAAGATTATTAAGTTTTTTCTCTTTTTCTACAGTCAGGGCTTGATTAGTTAGAAAATACTGACAGCTCTTTTTTTTGTGAGAGGGATGGACAGTGGAAGAACAGCGTGGTGTGGGGTTTTTCTCTCTCTTTTTTTTTTTAAAAAAAAAAAAAGAAGAAGGTACTATTGTGAGCACTAAGGCTCATTTTACTGCAGTAGCAAATCCAGTACCGTAGCACTTAAGCGGTGGTTAACAGTGCTTTGGTTCAGAATCAGTGTTAGAAAATAAAGTTTAAAAAGTTATAATGCAGGATATTTGGCTGGATTTCAACAGCAATTTGTAATGAACGTAGAAAGGACTGAGGCATTGGCTTCTTCCCCTTGGCAAAGTACTTTGTTTTTCATTCTGTTTAAGTCCCAAATTTGACGATCAAGTTCTCATTTCCATCGATGACGCACTAAGGAGGATTCGTCATTGACCACGTCATTGTCAGTGTAGCGATGCTGGCACCGTGGTGGAATAAGCAGCAGGATGATCAATATAAGGAGGATAATTCCACACAGGCTCATCAGAGCATAGGAAGCAATCCACAACACTGGTTCATGGAAAGAAACGCTCGAAACACAGTTGCTTGCAACATCTGCTGTTGTGAAAGGGCCTTCAATCTCAGATACTGGCGAGCCATCAACTTCTGAGAAATTACAAAAAGGAAAACATGAAGTCTACAGACACCATTTAAAAGCAAATGACAAGAGATCTAGCCTAAATACCTATGTATCTCTCTCCTTCCATTATCATACATCTCATGTTTTCTTATATTTCTCATTGCAATAAAAATGATAGTAGCCCATGTTTACAAAATGGGAATCTGAAGCATAAGGAGACCATGACACTCCCACATCTACCCAGACTGTCAATGAGAGGACAGTTAAATCAGATCTCTTGCAGATGAAGTTAAAGCCCAAGCCACTGAATCACCTTTTGTCCCTGGACTAACCTTTCAGAAATGTCAATTTAACAAAGCTTAAAAATCCTACAACATCTACACTGGAGTAGGTCAGGTCCTGGGCAGTTTAACTTTATTTCCAGCATTCGAAACAACTGGAAAAGTACCTCAGATGATTCTTACATCTTCTGGGTTTGCTATCTACCAGGGTCTTAGGGAGCAGCATGCAGGTTCATTAGCTTCACAGGTACCTTAAAGGGCTGTATCCTAAACACAAGGTGCAGGGTGGAAAGCAGCATAGATACTCTTGTGAGTGGAGGTGAAAATTCAGAAGGAAGAGGAAGTGAGGCAGAAGAGCTGGGTGAAGGTGGTCCAGAAAAGGGGAACACTGGAGAAAAAGGTCAGTGTCAGGACTGAGGAGCTGGGACATGAAGGAGCAGCGCTGTTCGCCAGGGAGGGAGAAGCTAACAAAGCAGCTCAAAAAATGGAGATGACAAAGGTAAGGCAAAAAGCACGAAGGGGTGCCTTGGCAGCTCCATTCTTGAACAGCCATCCATCTCGGTAACATCAGAGACTGTGTGACTTGTTTCCTTGCCATCACAATCCCCTACTTGTTACACCAGTATCTGCTAAAAAGAGTTATGCCGCTCATGGTTGTCACAGTAACCGTGGCAAGAGCAGCAAAGTTCACCCGAGTTGTGGACAGGGCTACCCGTATTGTAAAGGCACAGCAACTGAGTTGCCTAGGGCAACAAAAATTTAGAGCATTTCATATCTGCAAGTGTGTGGCCAGGGAAGGACGGATACCTTTTGGCGTGCCTGGGGCAACTAGGAGTCTGCAGTTAGTACTATCTGTGTATTTTAACCAACCTTCCAAACACTTGTAATTCACTTCTCTGGTCAGGTACTTCAAGACACATTTGCGTATTTCTTATAAAGGCCTCAGTTTTAACCTTCCTGCTTCATTTCTTGTTTGTTTTATACACAGACAAATTCTTGCCAAATTCTAAGCGATCCTGCCTGCTGAAAACAGTGTTTCTTATTTACACATATCTTAGACGTGACTCCTGAAAGCATGTTTAAAGAGTTTAGTCTAAAATACCCGTTGGAAGGAAGAGGGAAATCTGTGTTTTGGAAAAGCAGGAAGGTGGTCTTTAAGATCTTTTGTGGAAAAACAAATGCAGAATAGGTGGGCTGCTCTACCTGCAGTTTACTGGGAGAGATTTTAGCTGGCATTCAGTCTCTGGCCTCCTAACACCTCATATTACTTCAAGCCTTGAGTCTTATTAAAATTAAGAGACTTAATTCAAGTTAATTGCATGCTGCTGCTGAAAGAGACAGTCCTGCTTGTCCTCAGTTTTTGCCCTCAGTGCCTCTTTTGTGCTGGTGCTAGTAACTGTTTGGCTGCAAGGACAGTCAGGGCAACTCACTGACTATACAGAAAACCAACATTTCATAGCAAACAAAATGCCCAAACAAGGAATTTTCTGTAGAATCACACAACTGAACCAACCCCTTCTCCAGCTGCAAGCGTGGGAAGACTCCTTTAGCAGCAATAAGCTGCTGGAGTGGAGAAGGTGAAAGCTGAGGCTGCATGCACAACCACCGTAATAACACTGGTGAATATCAAACATATAGTATCTCAGCTCATCAGATGGCAATAAACTGGCCCATGTACCTTATATTGTCAGCATATCTTTGCCAAGACATGGCTGTTACACAGATACTGTAAGGGAGCTGCACAGAAGTGGACAGACTTGTAAAAGACTACCTAGGAGGTCTGTGGCAGAAATCAGTTTTATTCAGAGTCCCACTACTGCAATTTGTCTACCATGTAATTGTTTTTTCTGGACATCTCACCCCCTTGCACCATTTAATCTGTCTTTATGAAGTTCTGCAGCAAAACCAAGCTAAACAACATGTAATACTAATGTGAAATGCAAGGTATAAGTACTACTACCTAGGAATTTAGTGTTTTGAAGAAGTGAAAAAAGCAGCATAATTTTCCATGTTGGAGACAGCTTTGAAAATATACAGTCCCTAATTACTCATTATTTGGCTTGAGTGCAACAATTACTCCTATTAAAAAAGGCAATAGAAAACTGTTGCCATAGTGGCCAACATTTTAAATTACATTTTGAGAATACTTGATAGCAGCACAGCCTCTGCTTTCTTCCCTCCAAAACCAAAAGTTTTCCCTCACTGTCTTCCACTCCCAGTGAAAGTGAGAGGAAATCAAAAGAGAAGAAATTTGCCTAAATTGTTCAAACAAGCCCTTAACATACTAACAGTCACACACCTGTAGCTTATTTACACATTAGATGAATTAGGGTATTTTGGCATATTTTTTAAGAGTATCTGGTAGCTACCTACAATAAATTCTTGATGTCAAATAAATAAGATTTTCATTATCGATGATTACAGGACAAAAATGGCACCTCTGGAAAATGCTGGTTTATGACATTTGTGTAGAATTTTAACACACTCACTCACCATCTTGGGTGGTTTGGAAAGGAAGCAAACCTAAAGTAAGATCAAATTTATCATAAAATTGTAAACTGTGGCTTGGAAGGGGCCCCTGAAAGTCACCTAGTCCAGCCTCTTACTGCAAGCAGGACTGTCACCATCAATAGATCAGGTCACTTGCAGCTTTATCCAGCCAGGTCTGGTAATACCCTGAGGATAGAGATGCACTGATCCCCCTGGGCAGCCTGTTTCGGTGCTGTGCCACCTTCCTGGTGAAGAAGAAATTCCTCATGTCCAACTTGAGCCTTCCTGAATGTAACTGGTGGGTGTTGTCCTTTGTTATGTAGTTTCACTTGCACTCAATCTTGACTTGCATTCAGTTTAGGGCCCACTATAATACCTAGCTGTTCTTCCGCAAGGCTGCTATTCAGCCAGTCCCTTCCCAGACTGTACCCATGAATGCTGGTTTTCTGCTTGAGGTGCAGAACCTTTGCACTTCTGTTCACTGAAACTTGAGTTTTCTGCTGCCTAGTCCTCCAGGTTACCAAGGCCTTTCTGGACTGAAGCTCTGCTATTCATCATGCCATCCATTCTCCCAGGTTCAGTGCCCACAGATATGGGTGTATTCTGTCTCATCACAGTTTACTGTAGATTAGAGTGCTTGGTGCACTTCTTTCCTAAAAACCATCTAAGTGCTGCTCTTAGGATCTTCTCACTTACTACAAAAATACTAGACGTCTAATTGTGCTTGATGCCAAGGTACTATTATGTCGCTTCACCAATGCTACCTAGTTGATCCAAACATATTGTCTCAAGAAGGAACCTGATCCAAGCCTTTTCTAGTCATCCTATAAATAGTAAGTTATCCCTGAAATTATCAACAGGCAGTTTGAAACAATCTGAAATTAGTAATGAGCAGAATTAAGTCTTCAAGGGCTTCCCATATTGAGAAAAAAGCAAATTTCTTTTCCTGCTACAATAGAATAGCTTCCTGCAGGAATCTATCTAACTCTCCTAACTCTTGGTACATCCTGGAGAATGAAAACAGTGCAAGTATTGCGGAATAAGCCAGTTTTCATGTCTAGTCAAGTCTCAACAGGAAGTTCAATGATGTTAAAGCCTTTAGTCCTGTTCCCCTCATTTTTATATTCATCACATACCTGTTTAACATCTTATAAAAACATGGGCTTAAATTTAGCGTTAACACTCTATTGTAAACAAGAAAGCATAGGTCATTGCAAAGCCACACCAAATGGTCTTTTGTATTTCAATATTTCTGAAAATTTATGCCACCAGTCATTCAATTTAATTTATGTCCACAAACAGACTAAAAAGCTCCAAATAAATTACATTAATATAGTTGCTATGAAGGACATAGCTGGACTCCACAGGAAGCCAGGTAGGCAGCTTAATCCCTCACACTGCAGAGACTGCTAGCCACTCACAGTTGTGATTTTCTGATGAAAGCAGTGTTAAATAACGGAAATCACAAGCTGTGTTGGAATGAATTCAAATCAACTGGCATATCCAGCAAAATGTCATCTGCCCCGTGAGTGGAGTCTGACAGATCACTGTATCTTGTCTCAGTCAGTGGCTTGTGTCATCTGATTTCTCAAGAAGCTAAATTCCCATGATGCTAGGTTAGACATATGCATGAAGCATGGACAAAGAAATAAGGAGGAAATGCCTTCTAGCACCAGCTGGGTATTATTATGTGTCCAAGCTCATGCAAATTCAGATTTCATTTCTACTCAGCAAGCTCAGTTCTTCCTCTTTACACAAGGTTGGCAGAGCTACTTGGAATGGCCGAACTCTATACTTTTACGTAGCAATATTAACATTAAGGTGTTATTATGGTTCACCAGCTCTTTCTCTTAACAAAGATCTGCTGTCAAAGTGTTCTTATGAGTATCAGCTGACTTGTGGCCCCTGCTGACTAGATGTTGGTCAGTATGTTCTGTCAAAACGCCCCCTCCCCTCTCCATTAATGGTTGCAGCGTGACAGGGACAAGAGGCAGCTCTACGCTTGCTGAAATTGCAGTTAGAAAGCATAAAGAAAAATGAAATGCAGGAAAACCTGGCTTGTAGTATTTATCTCGTTACACTTTAGTTCCAGACACATTTTGGAACTAAAGTGTAACAAGACAAATATTCAGACACATTCAAAATGTGTCTTTCATCACTGCATGGTACCTCATAGAGGTCCACATCAATATCCAGACTTTCTTTCATAGTAAACTCAAAGATGACAATTTTCAGCCCATTAACAATGGAGAGATTAAAAAAAAAAAAGGCTTTTAAAATGCCCTGGAGCTACAACTCGGCTACCTAGTCCCTCTCCTCTTTTTCCCCTCAATTACCAGGTTGCATTAAGCATTCAACTACTTATTGCCCTTACCCTCTCTAACACAAATACTGGGGATTAAAGAAGCACTGTCAGCAGTAGTCCTTTTCTCATGAAAATCTCAGATGATACAATGTTTTCCATGCGTCACCATTTCTGTCTAGGACAGAAACTTGGGTATGGGTTCATGTCCCTTCCCTCCTCTCCCACTTGCATGTCCCTGTGGTGACAAAGCAATGCCTCAACAACAGGGGAGGAAACCTCAAAACTTCTGTTTTTAACTACACTTGATGAGATAAAAGAAATCATGAAAAGACAAACTGAACAGCACTTTAAAATAACAAAAAGCAAAAAAAAAGGAGCTTTTTCACATTTCCTCAGCAGATAATTAAAAAAATCAATGACTTTCTACTTACACTGAGAAACCTATTTGTTTAGAGCCAACACAAACACAAGTCTTTATCCAAGTCCCATTTTCACCTTAGCTCTTTCTTACTGACAGAAAGAGAGGCTGAAAAGGCACAGTTTACACTAAAAGAAAAGTGCAAGTAAGGTACTTTACTACACATTCCAAAAGTTAGTTGAAGAATTAATTTATCGGCAAATTAGAACAGGAACTACACAATAATGAAGCTGCATTAAAAACAGGAACTTGTCTCATGTAACTGCTGGGGAAACTGCACACAGAGACAGATGTCTCAAAAAGATCTCTCAGAGGGAATAATGCAGCTAAGATACCCAAAGCTGAGGCTGATTTACTTCATGCCAAAAGACTTGTGTGCAATTCAGCTTTTTCTTTTTTTTTTTTCTCCCCTTGAAATGTGAATAACTTGGGATTGCTCAAAAATACACCCTTCACACATCATAAGTAATCACGCTTTTCCCCATCAGATAAGTGTCAAGGTTTTCTCTGAGAGACCAGGTGTTTCCTCACCCATCAAGTCCTGAACTGTATTTCACTTACCTGCACATGGACTCACTGCAAAGCCCACTCTCCTCTGGGCTCTATCAAATATTACATAGAAGCCTTCCATGACTGTAGCACCAATAACTAGAGCATTTGTGGAGGAAGAGATACCAAATCGGTAGCACTGTAAAGTCTCTCCTATTCCAAGGATAGGTTGAATATAAAGCTATTAAAAAAATAAAATAAAATAAAGATGACAGAGTGTAAGAAGCAATACCACACAGTACTTAGAAGTTCAGACTTCTTGATTTTGATATTCAAGCACTCAAACTCCACTGGAAATAGAGAATGAATTGGGGCAAGCAGATTTTTGTACATGATTTAAAACTGGTCAGAGCTTACATGCAGGTAAGATGTAAAGCTCTCAGATTCTAAGCTTAAATTTGAACACAGTCGGTCACTATGTGAAGGTCAACAGCAAATTCACGAGAGCCACTTTTTATTGTATTTTCCATAAGGGAAAGATAGCTGAGAAAGAATTTGGCATATGAACTCAAATTAGAGAATAATTCTATTACTTAAAAGATTATCAGGATGGAATTCATTCAGAAAGCATTCAGTGTCAGCTTCAAGGCTCTAGATTCATAAATTCAAGTCACATTTTACCCCTTCTGCCCTCAGGGAAGATGAAAGATTGCCAAGCTACATGATCAATACAGAAAAAGCTTATCATAAGGTTTTACTATATTTCAAGTTAAAAATACACTTAATTAATAGGTTCATTCTCCCCTCTGCTCCTGACCATCCCCTGAGGTAAAAGACTGTATTAGCAATGTTAGAGGATACTAGCCTGTATTGCAGCCTATACCAGGAGTGGAAGCCAGAAAGGAAAAATAAAAGTGGCATTTTTTTTTTCTAAAAGCTGGGATGGAATAATAATAAAAGGTAAGCAAACCAAGTTACGGAAAATGGTGAAGACATCACATGAATGCCACAGAAACCAGATCAATCTGCTTCCCAAAATGAGAAGATCAAAACAAAACACACACATTCTGTACTCACATTTAATATGGTTAAAGCTCATGAAACAAAACAAGAACTTGCCTATTTTTCCTGACAATTTGAAAAAATCATTCCCAACTACATGGACTGCACACTCACCGGGAAACTGTTTTCCTTTTTTGTTTTAGGTTTGACAAGTATGTTATCTTCCCTGTTTACAATCTGATTTTTAAAATGTCATTTTAAAAGATTTCCCTTGCACGCAATAAGACAGTTCTCTATTATGGCTAAAAATAGCTCCTATTTTTTTTTTAAGAGGATGTGCTTTATAACAGTAAAAATAAATGCATAAATGAATAAACAAAGAATGTTGAGACCTGTGGTAGGATAGAGATCCGAAACGACCTACTGGAGTTTTCATCCCTTAGATATATAGAGAGTTTCGGAAATAAGGACCAGGGTCTTTCAGTTTTATCCCAGCATGCAAGCTGTGAACCAGTCCAGAAACCAGAAGAGAATTCTTGTATCTATTAAAAAAAAAAAAAAGAAAAAAAAAGCATACAGATTACAGACATTTTGATAAGATTTTTGTAAATTATATCTACCACTGCTTGATAATTCTTCAATTCCCATGGAGAAATTCAAGCATGCACACAAGTCTTACAGGGAGCTTTTTCTTTGAGGATCAAAGCAAAAACCCAACACACAAATCAAGGTGTATCATAGCCCATTGTGACTTGGAAGAAGGGGGAAGAGGCAAAGTAAGTTTAGCTCTTCTTTCCTTCCCCATTTGTGTCTCACTGCTTCCACTTCTGCAGTGGACATGTAGAACCTCCCTGAGAAATCAGTACCACAGAGGAAAAGCATCAAGAGGCTCTTACTACCCATCTACATCTTCTCTGAAGAGCTCTGAACAAACGCCAATGTTTTGAAGCAGCAGACACTTTTTAGAAACACAAACCAAAATACAAAACCCATGAATATGCAATGGAGTCATCTCACTTCCTCACAGACCTACAGCTTCTTACTCAGCTTCAGGGTTTTGAAGACAAGGTCTAAGCCAGAATCTCCTGGCATCTACAGGAATCAAGGTCTGCTACGGTCAGTGGAAAGAAACACATCCCTCTGTCTTTTGCTGCCTTGCCACTCACTGCCAATACAACTTGACATGCTCTTGAAATAAGATTAACAGTTGTTTTTAATATATTATATAATATGTCACTAATAAAGCAAAAAGCAAACCCTGAGAGAGCTTGTTTGCCTAAGACAAACATCTTGCCTGATGTTCCTGCTCCCTGAAGCTGATCTGCTGCCAGATCAGATGAAAAACCTGCCTTATTTGAGTGCATTACTTTGCACTGGTTCTCATTCCCACATGAAGGAACATCCAAGGCAGTATCTTGCTCTGATGCCGCACAGCCAAAGCCTCCCCTTTGGGAAAGGAGAAAGATAGAATCCATCCTCTCCACTCCCCTCATTTGTATTTAACTGTCATACTGATTATTTTGTAAACACCAGCTCATACATTAGTTATATGGCATTTTAACAGGTCACAAGTATTCACCCCACCCCACATACCTGCTAATGAAATATTTGCACAATATTAGGCTCTTAGTACTTCCAGGTGCTTATTTCTTGGTTTTGGGCCAGAAAGCCTACATTCATGGAAGCACACAGTGAGACTTACCCTCACATACAGACTGGGTTTACCTTTAGCTCTCAATGTGTGCTTAAGTACATTTCTTGGCACAGGTCAGAATGCTCTGCCCCTCACAGATAAATCCCAGGCCACACCTGCTGAAAATACAGCTCTCTCTTTTCATTTTCTCTTGGAAAGCAGAGCTTGTGATCTGAAGAAACTGCATGGTAGCACCCACACTGGACAGTCCAAGCCCATGAAGTGCTCTGTGTTAAGTGTCTACTTTCATTTCCCAGGAAGACTGTTTATTACATTGCATTTCTTTGCCTTACTTCTGTATGCTGAAGAAATGCATTGGAGGGATTTGGCTGTATGACACCTAAAAGATTATTAAAATAAAGTTTTTAGGTTTATTTGAGACTTCCTTTCTTCAAGTTATTAACTTTGTATTACATGCTAAGTTTCACTCTGTATGAACAGACATGCTGTTTTGACTTCAGCTCAGTGAGGTGCAGTAAATGCCACCCCTCTGAGGCTCACCTCTGCCCACCTAACCAAACCACCACCCTTCAGACTTGCCAGTATCAAGCTGCATCTCTGCATCTACAACTTCTCCCTAAAATATGTCAGTCCAAATAAGTAAGGTTTAAAAAAATATCTGCACCACTGAAGAGCATAAAGCTCACAGCCTTGGATTTTTATGGAGTTGGATAAAGGAACGCTTCACATGCAGTTATCTCAGTATACCTGAGGGGGCAATAACATCTTGCAGGGAAGCTCATAACAAGCTGCTAGGAGCAGGAACTTGTTAACCTAGTTCACCTGTGGTCAGAGAAGTATGTCTGACTACAGCAGATGATTTTATGTTTCAGTGGTACATAGCCTGACAGAAGCACAAAGTGCTAAAAGTACAGTTGTGATGCTATGGTACAGTTACTGAAAATATCCATTGTCTTGACATTCTTCGTACACAGCTGGAATCTGATCCTTACATCTTGTAACTGCTCTCTTATTTTATAGATTATTTCCTTTGTTTAGAGCTGTGAAAGCTGGGGTTTTGTGTGTGTGTGTGTAGGGAAATGGGTACAGCAGCAAGGTCCTTGAGATTAAAAAGAAACCCTAAAAGAGAAGAGCTAGTTTATGCATTTTTAATAGAACGACCAGAAACTGTCAAGCAGAACAAGTGAGTGGTTTCCCTCTAATACTTTATTGATCAGTTGACTATTTACTTGTCATGTGGAAAGTCTTAGTTCAAATGTCCTGACCAAGACCAGAGAGGAGTGTGGACCGCTGTGATCCACTTCACAGGAGGATGCCCTACCACAAGATGCCGTTACAAGAGATCTTGGGTAGGCTTCTTACAATTCCCCTCTCATTGACTGAAATTGTTCCAGTCAATACGTAAGTGCTTTGCAAACAGAAAACTTTTCAACTAGGGAAGTTGAGCTACATAAAGTAACTAGTACATTTATATCAGATGCTGGACACCTGAAGGCAGTGAAGAACACTTCATGCCAAATCTCTGCTCTCAATCAGGTAGGAAAAGGATCTAAATCTTGAATTATCAGCATACTGGCAAATATTCTGTCTTTTGGACAACTAGCCAATAGTCCAGTTACTGTATTTCCTGTGATTTGCAACAAGTACAGCTGTCTGATTGTGAATCCGTGACAAAAATGTTTAAATTGTTTACACTGAAATATCTGGGATTTATTCTTCATCTTTAACCTTCTTGGCGCTGTTCACTGTATTCAACCAAAAGTTATGAATAGTTTATATTAACCAGAAAATGCTGCTTTGGTTATTCTACACTCACAGAAATCCACCATTTCCATGCCCTACTTCTAAAGCCCACTCTATTTCCAAAGAAAGACGCCTTTAAACATAAATAATTCAATAATGAAGGTCAAAAGCAGTTTTCTTGATATGAAAAATCCTAATGAATGGCATCCATTCTATACAACAATAGGCATTATACTTGGAAAGAAACTGCTTGCAATAGCAGGTTCTTCCACTTTATAAACACTCCATTTTGAGTGAAAGGACTGATTTTTGCACTCTTTATACTTTGAATCAGAGCAACAGGTATTATGCTCATGTTTCTGAAATGCTTAGAACAAAATATTCCAACTTTGCACTATTTCTGACGCATTTCCATACACATATTTCTGTTTTGTACTTGGACCCCCCTTTTCCCTTCTCCCTTTCCATCTTCACATCTTCCTTTGTCTTTTCTGTTTCCTAAGACTATCAGTCACTCCTCACTTATTAACAGAAGTAGATCAGGAAAGATTCTGCTCCCCCCCCAGGTTAAAACCCTGTCACTTACAAGGTAGATAGCAAAGATGACACTCCTTTCAAAGATGTGATAATGTAGCAGGAATTTAACATTTTGAGCAGATTGAATGACATTAGCTTACCAGAGATGTGCGAGCTATCGCTTGCACAACTGCACTGAAGACTTTCTGGGGCAGACGGAGGAGCGTGGTTCCACTGTCTACTATCGCTTTATCAGCATTGTACTAGGGAGGGTGAAAAAATTAAAGAAGTTACACACTGTAGCTATGTAATGCAGATTCCACTGTTTCATAACAATGACAAAGCTGTTCCTTTTTGATAGCTGTCTTCCCAAAGCCACATGTCATATCTGTCAGCAGCTCTCTCTACTTGACAGCTTGAATTCAAATGAAGTTTAGAGCAAAAGCAGGATACGGTCAGCCTAGACACAAGACTGAGTTTATCTGCACCACTCGGGAAATTACTGTGTGTTACCACAGCTAGCACAAATAGCCAAACCACTGTAAAAAGAAGTAAACCCCAGCCCCTGTCAGAGCTGTGAGCTAATCTGCTTTACTTCCCACATGCTTTGGGGCAGAAGTACTCTCATGGTCAGTACAGACAGATGCTAAGTATGCTGATGTAGCTTACAAGTATGTCCAAGCCCTGAATCAAGGTCTCTGCTAGAATGGAAACAACTCACTCTATTTTAAACACAGTGCAGCGACTTACTTTTAATGGCTGGTACATCTAATTCAAGAATACTTGGGGAGCATTATACCTCACTACAAGTCACACTTGGTACTGGCTCAAGAGTACAAATGACAAGTGCCAGACCTTTCTCTCTTGACTGCTGAAAACCACTAAAACACGGAAAAACCCCCATGTATAAAATCCCCTTGAAATTTCAATCTGGCTGCCTCAAAATTGGCACTAAAACCCCATAGCAAACATTTCATTACTAAAACCCAAACCCTCAGATGAGGATATTTCAGCCAATTTCAGATACATCAAGCAAAGAATAAACATTTTAAAAGGTATATATTTTTTTCATGAACTCCTTAAAAACTATGATTAACTGGGGGAGGAGGGGAAGCAAGTAGCAGTGACAGCTGTTTGAATTAACTACTTTTGTTGCTAGCTTAGGCAGTAAGATCAATAGAACTGAACAGTGACATATTTATGGCATAATCATAAGACAGAGAATAATATACAGCATAGGCTTTTTAGGAAGAGGTTAAAGAGCAAGCAAATTTAAAATACTTTGGTTTAGATGTTATCAAGTCATACAGAATAGCTTTAGCACAGTGATGAAAATAAAACCCACCAAACAAAAAAGTAACTAACTTAGAAAGAGCTGCTATAGGCTGCCAAGCAGAGCTGAAAGAAAAGCAAACAGGAAACCATTTAGAATAAACAGAAATGCTTCTAAAGAGTGGAGAGAAGTATCAAGGCACTGTGGAGTCCAGTTTAACAGATTGGTACCACAAATACGCAATTGCCACTGTCCTAGAAACCCATCCCTGGAAAAAAAGTAGGTATAAGGCCCAGCCAAGAGGGTCACCACTAATATAAACCCATGCAAAGTGCCTGGAGTAGCACGATTGCTCGGATATGGACTGAGCACCTGGATTTTTGTGCTGTGTACAGCATACTTGCAGCAGGCAGCAACTTGCCTTCTTAGTCTTCCTGGTTAATGTTTAACAGTGCACTCTGTGCAGCCTGCACTGCTGGCAGCTCAGTACTTCTCTCAGCCCTGCCTGGTCTGTAAGGCTCAAGGCCACATCTGCAGTGTAATACTGGACAGATTCCCAGCATTGAAGCGAGGGGACTACTTTTCCCTGGCAAGGAAAGGAAGAAGTCTCTGATGACGGTTAAAAGAAATGTTCCATTTCCTAGAAAACAACTAACAGGAGAGAGGGCATACAGTTCATCATCCTATACAGTGAATTATGCATCCTCTGCAAGCCCCTAACTAGCCAAACTTTAATTATACTAGCTCTAATTTACTGTTCTTCCTCTAAATTTTTACAGGAAGACCTCCTTTGATCAAGAAAGGAATGATGCTTCTGTACCGGTGATTAGCATACTGTGCTAATACAAACAATGTGAAAGCAAACCTTGGCTTAGAAAAGAGCAACAATAACAGGAAATTTTTGTAACACCCCTAGATTTTTAGGCAAGTTGTTTTCTGGAAACAGCATGTATTAAACCATTAGTACAAGGGCTCCTCTTCAAAAACATATTGTCTCTTTTGTAAGGTAAGAAAGAAAAGCAAACATAAACATTTATGTTAGAGGACCAGTGGTTTTGCTTTCCTTTATAGAGGCATTTAAATAGACCTTGTTTTGCTTATTAAGTTGAAAGACAGTATGACTCATTTTAAATATTTTATATGGCAATATGAGTTTTGTACTTTGTATGGAAATAGTTATGCACACATAAGGTTTTTATCATTAATTTATATGAATTATAAAAACTTTAGAATTATGATGTCCCAGTGATTTCCAACTAAGAGAACAAGCACAAGATAAAATTAAGATGTTTAATGAAAACAGGACATGAAAATCATAGAACTAAAATCAGAGCATGAATAGCAATGAGCAACAGTAGGAAACAAATAAAACACACACATACGCACATATCCTTCAGAAAAAAAAAGAAAAAGAAACAGCTTTGGAATAAAAATTGCAACAACACAGTCTCATTAGGCTGATCCAGAGATAGCAGAACGTTATTCCTAATAAAAACAGAAAACATGTCCTTCAGGAATAATACCTGGCAAGGCTGAAGCGATAAAAAGTGGATTACAAAAATAAAAAAAAAGGAGGCATAGAATGAGATCCTTTGGGAAGTGTCCCAGGTTGACACCTGTCCACTGCCACCGTGAATTACATGCTTATACCTCTACAGGAGTCAATCCAAAAATCTTTCCTTTTCTTTATTTGACCAGAATTGCTTTAAAACCCTTCGGCTTATTTTGCTGTGTAACAGAAAACCATACATGGTAGCTGTTTAAGTCTGTTGTCTCCCGGAATTAATGCACCATCTTCAGTGTTAAGACACATCTGTTAACAACTGAAACTAGCCAAGAGGCTGAGCCCTTCCAAGCCACAGCAGCCTTATTTTCAGTGGACTGTTCACTTAACAACTGTACCCTAGTTCTTAGTTTACTAATACCACTAACGGCTTTAAAGTCCGCTTTGAAGCCATTTTAGCATGCTTGATGTACACCCTTCATTTCACATGGCTTATTCATTTCTTTTCAAAGTTACCATGTAGCCTTAATTCTCAGAGGAGACTGCAATACACACCTGCTTGCAAAGTCAAAACTGATCAATTAAGTGTTTTTCTTAGACAGAAACACGTAACTGCAAATACCTCTCTACAGTCCAGTTCAAGGTTCTGTCCTCCAACCTCCAGTTTGAGAATTTCAACCTGGTAATACCACTCCTCTTTGATCGGTGTGTACCAAATATCTCCCTTGTACAGACTTGGTTCAATTCCACCCAGAACCTGAGGGAAAGGAGGAAGGAATTCCCATGCTTTAAAATCCTGGATGTTTAGATTTGGAGTAAGCACCCAAAAAAAGCAGAATATTTAACTGTGATACACAGGGCATCAAAATTTTAACTTGGCACCATTTGTAAGGATTTTACTGGCAAATTCTTTGTCAATAATAAACCAGTATGAAACATCTAGACATTACATAGATTGTGCTTCAAAAAGAATTCCTACATTGGGCCAAATTACCAGCATTCATCTACAAGCTAACACTGATCCTATTATGAAAGTTCCATTGTGTGAAATTGAAACAGTATCTTCAGTGGTTTAATCTAGCCAATGTATAAAAATGGGACAGAATATTAAACTTGCACATCATAAATACACTTTATCAGATCAGAAAAACCTTAATATTGTTCAAGAACACTTCATTTTTCTTACACACAGCCAAAATGGAATATGACCATCCTATCACTGCTGTCACTGTTAGCTTCCATCAAAATGTACACTGAAGCTGACTGGAAGCATACCAGACCATCAGACTTTGAACTGAACTAATGTATGCCAGTTCTCTCTTGGGCTTCATCTATCTCATGTTTGTTAACATTTACTGTGTATGGATTCATTACAAAATAACTATTTGTGATCAACTCATGTGCTGATATGCTTTTTTCAGCATAATTTGGGAACAGTCATTCAAATCTCTATTCCAGATAAAAAATGGCCAATTCTCAGTCCTACTAAAACTGATGGAAAGACTTTCCAGAATCACAGTAAGTAGAAAATCTGGTCTTCAGACTTTTTGCTTTAACATGTTGTCTACAAAAATGGAAAAGAGCCTTGTTTCCTCTCCCCCTTTTCACATCATGTAAAAAAAGTACTGCAGCATTTTGGTAAGACTGAACAAACTGAGCAGCTGAGTAAGGGACTACTCAGTTTGAGAAAGGTAGCAGAATCTGCCCTGAGGAAACACTGTAACATTTATATTTTTCTTTGTTAAGATTTACCTTGAAATGCAGAAGTTTACTCAAGCTTGAAAAGTAAGTAAGAATGGAGAATGAAAATTGACACTTGAGTTTTGCTTAAATGCTTAACTTTTCCTTAAAAAAATCTAAAGTATTTCACGTTTAAAAACTAAATTTGGAAGTAGGATAGTCATAGAAAAGAGGGAGAGAGATTAACGAAGAAACATCTTCCCTCTCAGATTGACAGATACCCACAAGACTACCTCCGTTGGTACCACTCCCAGAAACAGGTAATCCAGCACCACACATCTGCAAGGAGAAAATGTTGGGGATCTTTGCCTGCCTCACAAGAGAATCAAAGAATGTCTCCACAGAACTTGAAGGCTTGAAGGTGTTGAAAAACAAAACAGAAAAGAATTGGAGAATTATTAATTAAAAAATTTCTTTGCAGAAAAAAGCAAATCATTCAAACAAGACAACTTTTCTCAAGTAAACTGAATTTCTGACAACCAGGTGATGAAAATTCAAGAAATAACAAGTGATTAAAACCCCAACATCTGTCATTTTTCTGTTTCTGTTGCTTTTAAAAACATTTTTACTCTTGACCACTGTCATAGAAATCTCTGACACACGTGAGTATTTTTCAATTGCAGTTTTCAAACTCACATACTAGTTTCAGTTTCAGGCAGAAACTCTCACTGATGCTTTCTGTTTGGAAAAGGCTTTGGGTTATTAGAACAGTCAAATGTAGCTTGCCCTTCACACATTTCCACAGTTAAAGGACAGAATTTTAAAGTGTGGATTTTCAATTTTTAAGCATAGTTTAATTCTAATGAACTTTGAATTTAATGGCCCTTTCTTCCTCTTCTTTCTTTTAAAGAACTTTATACCCAAGCACACTCACTTCAGTTGATAACTGGCCAATAGGTTCTTTCCTACATTTCATGTCATGCTTTCCTTTGCAGTTACTAGAGCACTGCAGTTTCATTATAATTTTGACTTTCATGTAGGTACATCTCATGATAGGCAGAGATCCTGGCTAGCTTGAGAGGTGTCAAATGCTTTTACTGCAAAAAGGACAGAGCAGCCTCAGAAGCCAACAATACTTAAGTCTTTGGAAGAAGGGAAAAATAAATGCCCTGAATGCACTATTTATCCAAACCTGAGTCTGAGAAGCAGCTCTTCTTTGTCTGTATGTTGACAGTGTATGACAGCAATATGGCATAAGTCAACACCATGATTACATACCTCTTGAATAAAGCATTTTAATTTCATAGTTGGTGGGCAGTATTGAATTATTTATTCTAATTTAGTATATCTCAGTTAGTGAATTTCTCAGAGAGCTATGCATGGGTTGAAAACTATGACAACATAGTATTCCAATCAGATTTTCAGTTTTAGATTACAAGGTAATAAATGTTAAGACTTCTACCTGAGAACAGGATGTGCTTGGTTCTACATTTATGAAAACACCATAAATAATATTTGCTCTGAAATTATCCGTATATATGCCTTCCATCTCAACTTTTACTTGGTGAATGGAGAATGCCTAAGAAAGAACTGCCAAGTGCTCTGCCAAGTAAGTTCATCAGTCCATTGACAGGTCTTGAGGGAGGTCATCAGAGCCTTAATATACACCCTTCAAACACATGCCAGCAGCCATTACTCCCATAGTCTGGTACTAAAAGCTCTGTAAAAACTTGTTCATTCCACGGGACCTGAAATCGGAGCCTTCATTACCACAAAAGCCATAATCCTCACATAGGACTGCAGTACCATCATTTCCCAATTTATTCTTTCTGGAACAAACACAAAAGATCCATACAAAAGAGTGGCTGGAAGGGAGGAGTCTAATGCTGACAGATCATCTGCTCAATTTATTTTAATAGCTAGATTTCTGTTTATTGTCATTGTGAAAGACAATAGCTGGGGAAAGGATAATTTACCTTGGCTAAGGCATCGTAGGCAAGACCAAGAATCCCGTGCCATTTAACGCCTGGCAAGAAAAAGTTCTCCGATTCAAGAATGGTAGCAATGTTGATGGTGTAGCTGCCATAGATTCCTTTTGGGATAGTAATGACATCTGTACCAAGCACTCCAGTCCAGCTTCCTTGACTGTACTTGACTGTGACATCAATCCCTTGAGATTTGTAAGTACTTGACCTTTAAAAGGAAAAGATACACTTATGCACAAGCTGTTCGTTTATAATGCAAGAGAGTATATTCAATCTCAATTTTTTCCCAGAGAGGAGAAAAAAAATTAAGTCTGCAAAGTCAATCACGTATACCCACAGAAGAAGGGGTACGCATTGTACAAGCAGTAAAAAGGAGAAAGAAAAAATCTTGAAGCCCTCATTCTGAAGCTATCGATGACTCAAATCTTCACAATGTGTGTCTTTTTCTTTTCTTTATTGTTGTTGTTTTTTTTTTTAAATCTAAGGTATTATGCTACCTAATCCAACATGGTATTATTATGCTACCCTATGCAATATGTCCCTGACTCAGACTGGTCCATCACAAGAGGAACAATACTCTTTAATTGGAGACGGAATGTATTAAGTGGTGCTAGGAAATTAAAAGTTTCTGAATTCAAATCTAAAATTGAAGTGCCAAGCTAACTGAACAGCTGTAGACTAATACCTCATTAATATTATTAAAAAATCAATTTTGGATAAATTGGAATATTATTGTGAGTATCAGCAGTAAGACACAGGTTTTCTATATCTGCAGTTTGGCCTATCTATCAGGAAGTATGTAGACTTGGATATTATTAACAAATAATTTACTGACTTGGAGCAGGAAAGGAAGAGTTCCTTCCAGACCAGGGCAAAGGAGCAGTTAAGTATGGGAAGCAAAGAAAGGAAAAGAATCCTGTTGGGAAGGCTTAACAAAAACATTAGGAAAAAACCTCAATAGATATGTCATTTAAAAATACTGTAGTATAAATATAGTAATCTTCTTCCACCTACAACACTGCTCAAGAGCTACAGGTGTTCTAGATCCCTCACAATTTAGTTTGGTCCCATTCCTCAGCCTACAGCTTCCCTTTCTGAAGAGATGGATGACCATTCTCGGTTCATCTGGACAGACTTTTAACTTGACAACTTTTTTTTAAGTAAATTTAAAAAAAGGGAAAGGCAAGTGTAAAATAATTTCATAGCACCACCTTTACATGTTTGTAAACCAACAGAAACTGCAGGTGGTTCATCAAGTGTGGGCATTTTTATCAACCCAGCTTTATCTAACAGCGGCTCTGACAGAAACAGCCGAATTAAGTGTCTTCAGAGGCCCCTGTATCTGAGCTCACCAGAGTGAAAGTGGTGTGATTTTGTCTATTATGGGGAACAATCTTTAGATGGCAATGCAGACACCCCCCATCCATTCAAGCATACACTTAATCTTGAGGCACAATTTGCTATATGGCCCATGCAACTGATCCTCCTATTAGCTAAGGGAGGGAGGGAGTAGTAAGAGGCCAGGATATACCCTAAGCAGTTTTTGATGCTCCTGACATCTAACCCTTCAAGGGTCTTCAGGGCTCAGTCGTTTGTAAATTCCAAGACACCAGAAATACATGAAATAATAGGCCCCACTGATCACATTTCAAAAAACACAAATTCCAGAGATACTGTTACTACCAGGCTGAGGAAGTTGGGGCTGTTCAGACTGGAAAAGAGAAGGTGGAGACCTCCTAGCAGCCTTCCAGTATCTGAAGGGGGCCTATAGGGATGCTGGAGAGGGACTCTTCATTAGAGACTGTAGTGACAAGACGAGGGGTAACGGGTTCAAACTTAAACAGGGGAAGTTTAGATTGGATATAAAAAGGAAATTCTTTCCTGTTAGGGTGGTGAGGCACTGGAATGGGTTGCCCAGGGAGGTTGTGAATGCTCCATCCGTGGCAGTGTTCAAGGCCAGGTTGGACGAGGCCTTGGGTGATATGATTTAGCGTAAGGTGTCTCTGCCCACGGCAGGGGGGTTGGAACTAGATGATCTTAAGGTCCTTTCCAGCCCTTATGATTCTATGATTCTACCTGTATGTGGTCATCTAATGCTGTTTTACTTGTCTGTGTAAATCTGCATTTGTCTGACACTTAGACGAAGGTACATCTCTGCTCAGGCAGGGCCTTCAGAACACCACTGTGCTACTGGCTGTAGATTTGATAAATCAAAATGAAGTCTGAATAATTAGTGACATGAAAAAAGGGGGGAAGGGGCAGGAAAAAGAAGGGGAAATACAGGGTTCTTCATGTAGAAAAGTGTCTGGCTGTGCAACAGAAGAGGAAACACCTGAAATAAAAGAGAAAATTGAGAGCTGGGAGAACAAAGCAAAGAGAATCTGCAAATACAGACACTGCATGACTAGCAACAGTAGCAACACATAGCTCTTCTTCTGTAAATTGTAACAGCATGGTGGATTGAGCTGTGGACCAGGACACAGAACCACTGGGTTTCTTTTCTAACACGGCTGCTGAACTTTCAGGTGGAAAGGCAGGACAAGTCGCTTCCTCAGGTCCTGTGCCTCAGCTTTCCCACCTTAGAAATGGGTATGAGGATACTCATCTCATTTGTAAAGCACACAAATGCTATATTGATGAGAAGGCGTTATTACTTCCTTCAAAGAGCAAAATTCCTAATGTGAGAAGGTATATCACATAATCCTTGTGTCAGTAGATTACATTCTGTTCCGCAAAACCACTTCCTACTCCATCGTCTGGATTGTAATCAGCACATAGTTTTCCACCTCACTGACATAAAAGAAGGAAATTCCTTTAGAGGTCAAACCTAAAGACTTGTTCTAATTCACGGGACAAGTGTTTTAAAACAAACACTCAGGACAAAAAATTCCAAACGACACGTTTTGGCTGTAATAAAAAAATAAGAAATTCAACTCCTCCAGCAGGATAGAGGGTATCTTAGCCAGAGGCAAAGAAAAAGGCCTCCTAGTTTACGATGCTGTAGTGACACTACTCCCTTCTCCATGTTCTGCCTGGTAACTCTCTTCTCTTAGCAGTTTACAGCAGCTTCAAAGGCAGTTACCAAGATGACATAGCCAAACCTTTCTCTGCAGTGCCAGACAATAGCACGAGGGGCAACGCATGACTTACATTGTGAGGTTCAGATTGGATAACAGGAAATACTTCCTCCAAAGGACAGCGTGGCACAACACTGAAGTGCTCTGCCCAGAAAGATCACAGATTCTTCACCCTTAAATATTTACAGGACGTGGCTGTACTCTGCTGTGGCTGACCTGATCTGCCTCATTTGGGATTTGTACTAGCTACCCTACAGAGGTTTCCTGCAAACAACATTTTTGAAACATCTGATTTCTGGGGGGCAGGACCCTTCCCAGATGACATTTATTTGAATCTATTTAAAGTATTTAAAATGGGAGAAGCATGGAGTAGCCAGGTTCAAACATGTTAATGGCTGCACTTTATTCTGAGCACACTGCAGTACTTCATCAACCCAACCCAAACCAAACCAGAAATTGCTACTGCAATTGCTTTGAACTGTTATGACTTGAGTTTGAATCATTTTACAAAGCACCCTTTAACTCTTCAGGGCCTAAATTTCAAGGTTGCAATATTAACTTTACAGTAAAGTTCTCAAAACACAGTGTACACTGAGAACACTTGATAAGAGACTGCAACCTTCAAGCAATTTCACAACCTTTCCCAACACATAACCTCTGCTGTTGTCGCTGTTTCTAACAGTTTACAGTTCTTTTGAGAGAGGCCTGGCCCTCCCAGACAAAATAACACCATTTAAGAGAAAAGGGAGAATGAATGCTTGTGGGTTTAATTCCTTGCAATTAAGTTTCCTCTAGCCACTACCTATGAAAGGCGATAGCTGGCATGTAGAACTCTGCAGTAGTGCAGAAACTGCTTTCTAGTAAAAATTCTGTACTTTCCAGTGCTGTGTCATATCAGAGTGAAATGTGAAATATCTCCATTAACACCAGAGTATGTGGCAGCAGGTAATGCTATTCTAGGAAGCAGCACAGAAATACTGGCTTTCCCTCCATTACTAGTGTATCTCATTGGGAAAGAAAAAAGTGCAAAACCTTATGTTAAAATACACAAAGAGGTAAGGAGAATGGTGATACTTTCCAGCCTCTCAGTTCTCAAAAGTATTTTTATCATCTGTATGCTTCAGCTAAAGATAGAAACTGTGTTTTGCAGAAGTTTACCTGAAATAATTGAAACTAAACAAGGGCAGAAAGGAAGGAAGAAAGAAGGGAGAGTGATTCAGACAAAGCTGTGCTTGGCTGTGACTAATATCAGCTCATGCTAAACACAGCAAATTCAGTGCATAACAAGCACCAAAACCACCAAGTTGTATCTTGTAAGTTACCAGTTTTGACTAATCTTGGTCTTGGATGAAATGTCAACTGACAGATACAATTACTGTGTTTTAATTTTTGGGGTGTTTTAAACAAAGAGAAAGCATATTTAAACTTTCAATTCCTCCCAAGACTATTTGGATAAGAAATTTGCTGAAATTGATATGATTTTTGCAAACTATTTTTACCCTGTTATCTTCTTCCTTTTTCTCCAGCTCTAATCAGCTCTACACTCAGAGCTCAGTTGTTTGGTTATCAGTGGGTCTGTTCATGGGGGGCCTGACTCTGCATCAGGCAAGGCCAATCTTCCCATTCAGGCTACAGACATCCCACTCTCACGGGATGTCACAGGAGCCCCCAAAACTGCGGCATTACATGGAGGAGCCAGGATCTAAGAGACATCCTAACCCCTCATTGCATGCAGAACAGGTACTTACAGCTCGGTATTGAAGTAGGAGGTGACATCAGGATCAGGTACGCCTGCTACAGCAAAATTACTGCTCCCAGTGTCAACCAGAATATTTAACTGCCAAAACAGAAGATAAGGTGGTTTTCATATTCAACTAAACAAACAAAAAACCAACCAAACAAAATCATTAGTTTTTATCTAAACTACCTTTAGCTTTAAAATTATGACGAAAGTTGCCCTGAAAATAAATACAAAGTGTCGTTTTTAGGAAAGATAGGCTGCTGCAGCCCCTTCAAAACAGCTGATCATGCTCAAATGCTTTAAAATAGTCTTGTTCCTAGAAGAGGAATAACTCACTAAGCCCATATTTGCACAGCAGATAAATTCACAACCATCTCCAATTTCTTTTTGGCCCAGCCCATGTGTCTCAGCAATCTGGCTCTTCTGGGACACAGGCTGAATTGAGTACTGTTTCAAGCACTGTTTGCCTTAGAGTTTATGAGGTTTCAAGGTAGGGGCAGAATGCTAGTCTGAGCAGAAATAAGCAGCAACACAAAGCATGGGAATGATGCCCACTTCATCCTCAGCAGCAGCAACCTACTACAGCCTTCACTGCCTGTAAATAGGAGGATGGCAGATTTATAAACGCTGTGAAAAGCATTGATTGAAAGTGTTTTCAGTCTTAGAGCAGGCCACTTGTTTGGTTAAGTGGGATGACAACTTAGGCCAAAAAATGGCCTAGCAAAACCACACAGACAAAACAAGATACCTCCTTTCCCCATTTGGCTCAGGTAACCAGGATGGTTCTCCACAGCTGCATGACAGCACAAGGTAACAGCACAGGAGCGAGTGGTCAGATGCAGGATCACTTCTTTCAGTGAGACCCTGAACTACATTAAATGTAGTGTCACTAAATGATAATTTATGTCAATCAGAGTCTATACTGATACCAAAAGCAGTGGTTACACTTTTTCCCTTTTCTTGGCTGGATGCTTCCCAGGGCTTCTTGGCATGAACATTTGTGCCCATGGAGCTGTGAAGCAATCAAATCTGGTTCCTCACCTACAGCTACCAAAAAAAAAAAAAAAAAAAGCAATCTGCTCTATCAGCTACTTGAGAAGAGATGGTAGGAACAGATACTGAGATACCAGAAAGGGTGACTGCCTCCTTTGGTGGCAGTATGGTCTCAGACTGGCTTAAAACGATTGTGAAATTATGCCCTAGGCAGTAAGGGACACCTGTTCCCCAGGATTTAAGAATATTCTTGTAAGAAGGAGTAAGGCATGAGGACTGGGTTGCCTGGGGTTTAAAGCCAGCTCAAACAAGCCACTTCGTTAGTCTTCATCAATCCTTAAGATGTGAGTTAGCTAGGGATCTAGCACTGAAAATGGATATGGGAAGGGTAAGAGAGAATGATAAGGGAAATGAATTTAGTTTTGACAAAGGAAGTTGAGCTGAGCTCAGAAAGGACAAAGGATGATCAAGCATTTGGAGAAGATAGGCTGAATTCTTTTTAATAAGTTTAAGACCAAGCATAAACAAAAAAAGGGTATGAGTCGGTGTTAAAAAACACTTGGTTTGCTCATGGAGGGAGAGGAAGAAGATGGTTAGTCTTGTTTTACCTAGTTAATACAGTATGAGAAGCTCTTGAATTAAAGTATGAACAGAAAAACAACTAGTAAGTAATCTGTGGCACTCTCTTCTGAACTGCATGCACACTGTCATAGGTATTCCAACCATGCAAAGATTTAAAGACTAAACAGAAACAAACTCACAACCTTAGTCAAGTGCTTCACTGCATCCCAGATTTTACATTAAGCTGAGACAATACATTAAAATTTATTTTGCAACCATGTGAGGTAGACATGGATGTTTAAAGACAACAGGACAACTACAGGTTCACCTGGCTCCAGGATCTGAGGCTTTAAAAGAAAATAAGAACCTCTGAGGCATGGCTTACAGTAAAATCCAAAGTTTGCTACATACTTTATTTTGATGATATCAAAAGCCTAACATTTTTTCAACTACCTAATGAAGTAAGAACTATTCATTTCCCCTCCCCTCTGGGATAGAAATCATATTAAAAATAAATAACAAAGAGCAGCTACGATGTGTGCATCTATCAGGACCAACAAAAGTTGCCTCAGAGGGGTGCTGCAGGGCTTAAATTAATTAGTCTTTCTGAGGCTTGAGTAATGGGCACTATACATCAGCTGCATAAATACATGTAGGTGTTGCCTTAGCTTCAGTAATATGCATGACACCATACACGGGGGAGGACTTGGAAAAAACTCACAAACAAAAACCAAAACCAAACCCCAAGCAACCCCCCAGTCACTAAATATGACATACATTAAAGATATTTTACCCCCACACCTTAAATACAATGTTATCATCACAGAATTCACAAATAAGTGAAGAAAAGGGCAATTTTACTACCCACAGTATGAAGCAAATCAACATTTCCAAAAGAAAATAGATTTCCCCCACAGAAAAAAAAGAAAAAAAAGAAAAGAAAACACAAAGCTGGCTAACCATGAGAGTGCCAGCCCACTCGGACACAGCAGCATTCACATGACAGATTGCTATTGAGGCTGACATTCTCTATCTGCATGTTTGCATAATGAGATGCAGGCAGCCAGGGCAGACACTGATTTATTGTAATCTTCACAATAGCACCAGTGATTAGCAGCTCATTTTGGGGTGGGTATAACTTACTGAGTTCTCTTTCTCTCCTGGCTATTTTCTTTAGTGCCTTCACATGTCACTAAGAATCACTTTCATGCTGTCACCTTTGGAGCCTACTTTGTTCCATACTGCCTGCTGGAGGTTTAATAGTGCTATTGGGAGAATTTAAGGCCAGCTCTGGTGAGTCACAAGGTAGCAACCAAAGGTGCTATAGTCTAGGGCTTCCCATCCTGCCCCATCTCCAGAGGTCAGCACTGCCCTCTCCCAAAAGATGAGGCCAAATACACTGCATGCTTGCTCCCCAGATGCTGAATTTCACCACCCAACTTACTATTGAAAACCGAAATCAGTGGCACCTCAACTTGATTTACTGAGCTATGCGCCATGACAGCTGCAGAGTGTGGTCATACCTCTCTGTGTCTCTACCTTTCTACCACAGGAACAGAAGACCCTGATGCTAAGGCAGAGCCAACAGCGGTGGTAGCATCCTCTCCAGCTGCCTTCTTGTGAAGGCCCAGAGATGGTGAAATCAGAGCTTTGCAGGCAGGCAGAGAACATTCTTTGTGTTTATTACAGGCATGGGCTTATTACAAATGAATCACTTCCTGTCACTGAGAGCTGGTTATTTAGTGCTCACCCTGTTTTGCCAGTGATCGTCAGATGAAGCCAGATTTTGCAAAAGCTGAGGTCTGAGAGACACCACTGAATGAGGCTATGAAGGAAAAAACTGCCCAACGACTGCTGACTGATCATGTGCCCAGCATTAAAAACAGTGAAAAACTACTTTCCTTTTGCTTTTGGAGAGATAGAAAGAAGGCTTTAGGGTTTTTTTTTTATTGTGGTTTCCAAGTTCAATTTCCGACCTATACAGCAGAAAGCAGATAGCAAACACAAAAGGCCATTTTTTCCCCCCTGAACATCACCTTTATCACAGCCATGGGACATAAAATCTGCACCTAGTATCATACCTGGAGATTATTTTGCTGGATGCATTTCCTATATGGTAACAGTGTTGTTATTGTTAATAAGAGGTTAATAAAGATCCCTTGCTATAGAATAAGCAAGATTGTAACATCCGCTTCTGCCATGACAAACTTAAAGAGGAAATCTGACACTATCTATATGCCATTAGGCTGTGCTTATAAAAAGAAACAAATCCACACCTGTTTACTGAAAGTCACCAACACTGAAAGCAGAAGCCTTCTTAGGCCATGCATTTTATATTTTTTCTACTCCAAAGGGGTAGACACACTGAAAAAAAAACCCGGTTGCAGTGATTTATTTCAACTGGTAGCCAAACACATTGCCAATACTTCAAGAATCACTCAAACTTTCCAGTCCTTGATTTAGTGCCAACATCAAATAGCACTTAATGTATGCTATCCTGACTCAATAATTTAACTTACCATGGTATCTTTAATATTTCTAAGCTTTCCATGGCCAAATATTGTTATATTTTGCTACCAGGAAAAAAAAAAACCAAAACAAAAAACCCCTATTGATCTGTCATCTTTCTTTCGTTCAGCAAAACTTTGTCTGTCTGCGGTTCAGGCACCTGCTCTACCTGTTACAGCAAGTGACATCAACATGATGTCATCAACACTCAGCACTATCTATGCTTCATTTAACTGCCTGGTAAACAGCAATTTGCAGTTACCCCACCAGGCATTCAGAAAGTAACTCCTTTCACATTTTCAAGGAAAAGTGATTAAATATAGCAATCATCCCATTTCTATCGAATAGAGGTTGCTAGCATCCTCCATGTAGGGACAGCCTGGCCTCTGTCCTGATCTACGCCCTACTCAGACTTCCTATCCGTTACTTGTTTTAGTTTGATTGTGACGCTTTGGTAACTTTCAGAAAAATGTACAAAACAAAACTCATGGCTACAAGTGCATAATGCATTTGTTTGAAGTACCTGTCTGCATGAGAAGGCATGCAGAGCCTTTTCCAGGTCTGGAATCCTAGGGCTTCCATGCAACCCTGTCACACTGTTGCTGTTGATGTGATTCCCACACTGAGCTAATGATAATCTTCATCCCCTTTAAAAAACTGGCCCATGGAAAAAAAAAAATCCAGTGTAGTTTTTTTTTCGAGTTAACAGGTCTGGTCCTCTTAGGTCAAGAAATAAAGTTTCACCACTGGACAGAAAAAAAATCAGACTGCAAAAAAGTATTTGGGTCTTCAGCCCCGCTTCAGCTGAAGCATGGGGGGAGGAATAAGGTTTTCACAGATAGAGACATAAATATAATAATCAATCTCACTCAGCCTTATGTTTACTCCGGGGTTCAGTCAAAATCTTAATGATAAGCAATTGATAGCTTCTACAGCACAAGCCAGTAGACCGAAGAAGCTAGCTCTGTAAGAATTCATGATGAAAACTACAAGCAATCATGCCTTCTCTGGGATTTTAACTCGACCCAAGGGCA